TGCTACTTTGTACAATTTATACTACAGGAATGGCTTTGCGACCGTTCGGAGATAAATAACAAAATAAACGCCGCTACCCACAGGATTGCTCAGCACTTTCCTCCGCTATACCATATACCATACGACTCTCTTGCGCTCCCACTTGCTCTTTCCAGCCCCTATAGGTCGCCTCGACGCTTCACCACCTGACCCAAGCGGTCCCATCACTCCGTGCGACACGCCGGTCACGTGTTAATTACCTCCGGCCGTTTGCTGACTGATGCTGACCTTATGGTGACTCGTATGCGTCCGCACCTTCGGTATCTTGACGGAAACGAGGGGGAGTGAGTGCTGGAGGGTGGGCATGAGGAAGACGCCCCTCGATAGAAGTGTCCGCGGGTCCCGGATCTAACGCAGCTAGAAGTCGCATTGGTTAAGTAACTCCGGAGCTTCGGTGCGCGGAGATAAATCGCTGAATGGGTCCGAGTACGCCTCGAGGGTGTTGGGAAGTCCGGAGCTAAATAGAAAAAGTCTTTTAGAGCCCATAGAAGCCTAGAGGCGTGCGAGCGCTGTGTCGAATAAGCTCCGGGGCACTTGTATGATGTGCTGAATCCGCGTTTTCGGGGGTCAGACGATCCTGAGGCTTATCACCGGTATCGGACGAGCAGTGGTTTCGCTTTGATAGCTATGCAGAGCGTATCCGCACTCTGGCGCCACTGACCGGCTGATGAGTCCAGCCATCTTCCACCAGGACCCCGGCATACTGGTATATATGTTTGATCCTAGTGCGGACATAAACGGCCAATTTTGAGGCCCTATGTCGGATATTTAGGCGGACATAAAGTCCAAAATTTCGGTCCATGTCTGGTATATCACGGCGGACACAAGGGCCTTGCCGGTCTTGGTGTCCGATCACCTGGCGGACATACCGAGTCGTCGAAGTGTCACACCCAGTAGTCCTTGTACTAGGTTGAGTGGTGTCTCTTGTGCTGCTCAGTCAACTGTCAGCTCATCTCGTGTATATCCAGGTATATCCTCAGCAACGGTGAATGACATGCAAGCTTTGGAAACAGTGGTGAATCTTAGGAAGACTGAAATACAATATCCCGGAGTGATCATGTCACGATCTACTCGTTGCAGCGTTTGGCGTGTGCCGTTTTCGAGGTTGGACCCGTTTGGCGGACACACCGGGGGGCGCCCGAACATAGGTCACTTATGCGGACATAAGCAGCCCAATTTGGGCTGACCGGATCCTAGAGGCGGACATATCCGGTCCAAATGTGTGAGGCCATAAGGGCCAAAAATCGGGCACTTAGGATCAAACATCAGTACCCATATGCCGGGGTCCTCTTCCACCGTATCAGTACACTCCGGGCTCGCGCACCACTTATGCCTAGGCTTCAATCACTCACTTGGTCGGCTGAAAGCTATACGTCCATGGAAGGTATATCGGTCCTCCTGACCGGGTCGCTGAGGTACCTGTCCATACGCGTGGGCACAATGGATGCTTCGATGGCCATGGATTGCCTCAGCATAATTCAGGCGGACTTGACAGTTCTCGAGGCACTGGAGTTAGCGACAACAGTTCCCTACGACAGCCATTCTGTCATGAACTTCCGCAGTCTTCGCGAACGCAAACTTTGGTGCCCTATCTCTCATGAGGTTTTTATCAGTCTATCTATTCTAGAGCGCCTGGATGGCTTGGTCCTAAATTTGGAGCAAATCGTTGACGGTGTCGCGCCTCTGACGAGTCGCTTCCCGAGCCTTCGCGATCTCCACATTCGTGGTTCGACATGCATTATCGAAGCCACTTTGCAGTGTATCAGTTCGACTGCGATGCAGAACCTAATTCTCGATGTCATACCGTCAGCGAGGACGACTGTTCATTCCATATGCATTGCTGCTTCACGGTTCGAGTCCACTGTGGAGAGGTTGTCCATCCGGAGGTACATGCCCTATGGTATTGTCGGTCCTGCTTACGAGTTTCGCCCCCGGGACGTCGGGCCCTTATTGGGAATGAGTATGCTCACATACTGTGCCCTTGAATTTAGCCGCAGTGCAGCGTCCTGGTCCTCCGGTGATCTACAGATATGGGCTGCCTCCTGGCCGAATATACAGGAGATATTTATCGCCCTCCACGCACCGCAGCTTCTTCGTGACATCGCCTTTTCTGTGTCCCACTTCCCTACCCTCCAGACTCTCACATGGCCTGTCTTAACGATCCAGCGCCGTAGCGATCTAGAGGGGGTCTGCTTCCCCTGCTCCTTCCACCTTACATCGCTTCACGTCAATAATCGGCTCTTCCGAGATGCAGCCTCCCCAACTGCAGTCGCTTTGTTTCTGAAGAGACTATTCCCTAACATTCGGAGTACCTCCGAAATCTATCCAGGGACGATACGCCGGCTTTTGTAATGAACTCACTTGGCGAACCCAGGTACGTATACAATTCTGCTCGCTGTGCGCAGATACTAGTATATCCTGATGATGTATCCAGTAGCAGCAGTTGTCATCCTGTTTCGGTTACTGGTTCGAGTCCGAGTCGCCTCCTTCGCCAGCCCCTTCTCCTTTGTACGTATTGAGCTCTTCAGGACCCTTTGTTCTCCAAAACGAGTAACCCTCAAACTCGGCAAATTTGTGGTTTCCGCGCAATCTTCCTCGCACTCGGACAGTCGCTATAAATTTCGCAGGGATCGCCTTGGCCTTTCTAGTGATACCTTCGAGGATATGCGAAGTGATTGCATATAAGAGGGATTGAAGGGCAAAGTGCATATTCTCCCTCGTTGCCTTCTAGTATGGGTCGGTCAGTTCCATGTTAATGGACTCGATTATGAGAAGGGAAAAAAATCCTTACCCGTTGTAATTATGGTAGCGATCGATGGTATGACACTCCTGCTGTACTCTGCTCACATATATATTTATACTCGTATCAGGAGTCTCTGCGAGGCATGGCCTGCTTGCTTCTGTTTCATCTTGAAGTTACCACCAGACCGCTGCGACATGTTAGCAAACACTTGGAATGCGCACCGAATCGTGGACCAGGAAGTTAAGCCTGTCAGGACGGGAACTGCCTTCCGATGTTCCGAATTGCGAGGGCTAGTTATCATAATTCATGGGGACTTCACTTCTTCAAGTCGTGTACGCTCTGTGATAAGGGAGAGGCCCATGACTGTTTTTGCACGCTCACGACAGTCTTACGGCCCTCCGCTTCAGACACTGACAATCTGTCAAATGAAGTTGTTCAGGGTTTTTCCAGGCTGTGGAGAGGAGACACTGAGCCTTTTGTCCATCACGACATAGTGTGCTTCGGCGAGGACGGCATTTACACACTAAGACACCGACTGCAAGATTGTTATTGATGGACAGTGCACCTGAGTACACTCTATTTATGCTCAGCCAAACCTTACCTGTCTAGGAGAGCATGAATAGTTATGCACCGGACTGTGGCGATGGACTCTTTATGAATCTGCCGACCATCACGGCGATATAGCACGAGTTCAATCAGGGATTATGGGAGTCACTCCTGCTGCTACGGAAAATATGGCCTAAGCAGCCAGGACCACCTCCACGATATCGTCCTTCTTCTCGTTCCCGAGAGGCTCTCCAACCGGTGATGCAACACCTCGCCAGTTCTCCCTTCTATCTAGAGACTTCAGCACCACCTCTCGGACACTCTTCGACCCGGCAAAGAGGTAGTCGACGCTCTCGAGCGTCCGGCGTGCGGTCTCCGGGAACCAGTACCACGCGATTGAGACGTTGATGAAGTTCAGCGCGGCGAAGATGATGTATGTTTTCCAGCCGATGTTCGATATGGCTGGCGGTGTGATTTCGACGACTAGAAAGGTGCTGAGCCACTGGAAGACGACGGAGAGCGCGCCAGCTCGCTGTCGGATGCGAACCGGGAGTATCCTAGGATTTGCCACCTGGTCAAGGTTGGTTCTCGAGGCGGCGAGTGGACGGGACTTACTCGCTGGGGTAGCACCACATATTCGACATCCAGCCCACGGTGAAGAATCCCTGGAACAGGTAGAGCATCACAATAGCGCCGATACCGTTGTTCTTCCCACCAAGCTTTATCAGGATCGCCGAGACGAGCATGCATATGCCCATCCCGCATCCGCCAAAGATGAACAGCTTTCGCCGTCCGATCGTGTCGAGCAAAATCCATGGGAAGAACGACATCGCCAAGAAGAACAGCTGCATTCCTCCAGAGACCAAGAGAGAGTCCGTCCTCCCCAGGCCGATGGAATCTTGAATGATGTAGGGCCCGTAGTAGACGATCATGTTTATACCGGTGAATTCCTGACATGCTTGGACGGTGCATGCAATGAGCGTGCGTTGCCAGCCCATGATACCTCCACCGGAGAAGACATCTTTCCAGGAGCCCGTTGAGTCGCGTTCCAGGGCAATGGCAGCTTGTATATCCTGGAATTCTGACGATACGATAGGAGAGCTTGGCGGCGCATTTCGTAAGGAGCAGAGCAGCTCAAGCGCCTCCTGGCTGCGCCCGTGTGCAGCTAGCCATCTCGGCGAGTCTAAACATCGGGCATCAGAAGACGCTATCATTTGCAATGAGAGTACGACTTTACCAGGTAGCACGCTACACATGGCAATCAGCCCGAACGCAAAAATAATTTGGACGGCGATGGGGAACCTCCACTGGACAGACGACGACTTGAGCGACATTCCATAGTCAATCCAGTACGAGATGACGATTCCGACTATCAGGAACGTCAACTGAGCCGCGATCATCCGCCCGCGGGAGTGAGCGAGTGTCGTCTCGGCCTGCCAGATGGGCACGGCGCTGGTGATGAAGCCCATCCCGACGCCGGTGACGACTCGACCGATGACCATCTGTCCAAGGCCATAGCTGGATGTTTGGATTATCGTACCCACTATGAGTATGGCACCACCCGCGGAGATGACGGTCTTTCTCATGAAATGCTCGGCCCAGCAGGCACATATCAGTGCGCCGAGGAGACAGCCGAGCTCGTAGACTGCGACTATGAAGCCGAGGAGAGTCGAGTTCGGATTGGAGAGTTGTGCGAGGAAGACTGGGTCGGTGGTTAGACCGGAGAAAACGCCGTTGTCGTAGCCAAAGAGGAGGAAGCCTAGGCAGCAAGCAAAGGTGATCGCGTACACAAGGGGTTGCCCGCGCAAACCAAGATAGGACTTTATTGGGGAGTCGGAACGTTTGTCGACCGTGCTCGTAGCGGATGCCATAGTACCAGTAGAGCGCTGGGCAGCGACGGGTCAATTACGGGCCCAAATGTTATAACCCAGGCAAATAGCAGTAGCTAGCGGAGCACTTGCATGACAATAACATGTACCGCAACGTAGTATAGCACCATTATCCCGAAGGAAGGCGAAGGCATTCCGAGCTTCGCTAAGAATAACTTCGCTTTCCTCTCAGGAGGAGTTTGCCATACCCACTTGACCAGGGACTTCGTCAGGTGAGCTGGAGATATACTTGCCTGAGCCAATGGAAGACTATAAGAGATAAGCACAAGCTAAACCATCCCGTCTGGAACAGAGTCGTCCAAGAGGCGGTATTGGAGTTCCATCGTCGAAGAGTTTTCGCCGCTATGATGATAACCAAGGATCAGCAAAGAAGACAGCATACCGTTTCATAGGAAAGAACTTTCTATCAGCGTAAGGTTGTGGGACGAAAATCGAAGCCGCATGGGGCTGGAAAGGCGGAGGATAAGGAGAACCAAATGAGGAATGTGTCAATGTGACAAAGCACGTGACCGTGACTTTACGCGCCTCGACGCGTCAATACTGCCACCAACGAATTTATATCACATCCGACTACAAAAGGCCGTTACTACACTGAAATAACGAAAGCGTAATGAACGGACCTCAGGCCACAGTTCCTTCAGTTCTGCTTCCCGAGATACTCGGTTTTATCCCCCAGCTTCTCCTAGACGACATCGTCAACATCGCGAACAACGCCGTTGGGCACACCGTCGACGCCGTCGAGCAATTCTTCCAGAAGGAGTCCGAGAAACGCGAGCAGGAGCTTGCGCAGGCGGGGAAACAGCAGCAGGAAGACCAAGACGACGACGGGTGGGACACGGAGGTCGAGCAGGGCCTGGTGGCGTACCAGACCCTGCTCGACTCACACGTCGATATTGCGTTCGATTTCTTCGAGGCTTGGTCGTTGAGGAATATCTTTGCGATTCCGGCGGAGTTGCCGCTCGTCGTGCCACATCAGGAGGGGCTGAACCTCGAGCAGCCCCCCGAGAGGGAAGCGGAGCTCATGGCGGAGGTCGAGGAGTTACGGAGGAAGATCGACAACGTGCGTGGCCTATTTCCCAAGCTTTACATCTACTGTATACTATGCTAATGCTCAACAACATACAGATGCGGCGGTTAGAACGTCTCTACACCCGCGCCGTCCGCAAATCCGCCGCCCAGCTCGAGCGCTCCCAACGCCGCCTACAACGTCTCACCTTCCTCCAATCTCCCTCGCTCTCCTCGCTCTCTTCGCTCCCCTCCACCTTCATGCGCATGTACGACTCCGTCTCGCAGCTGCCGCCGATCGACCACGCGTCCGAGACAGCAGTCGCGCTCACGCAGCTGCGCCTGAGCGACCCGGGCAAGCGGCAATGGGAGACGAACCGCACCGGGTACTTCAACTGGGCGGTGGAGCAGCTCATGGCAAGGGCGAGGGAGCAGGGTGCGACGGCTGTGGATAAGGCGGAGGAGGAGGCGGGGCGCGTGGGCAGTGTGGAGGACGTCAGGGCGCTGTTGGAGGAGCTGGGCGAGACGAGGGAAGATAGGAAGGATGATATGGAGGAGGATTGATGCGGGTAAGTGGGGATTCATCCGTCTGATTGTATTCTGAATATATGTTCTGCTAGTTTGTTCTTCGGGTACGGCCCATGCTTCATACATTGGGCAGAGCCGAGCCGTTAAGCAACGGTGCCGTGTTCTTCGCCATTTCCGAGTGCTGAGGTCATCCGACGCTGTCTTGTCGTGTTCCTCGACATGCCCCATGACGCTTGCCTTAGATGGGACGCGGCAGGCCCTCCCTTCGCCCTGTGTTCTCGGGTCCCGCTGTCACCAAGCGGGCTCAGATCCATGCTTTTCCAGGGAACTTTTCCGATCGTCGGGCGTAGCTTCCATCCGAGGCCGGTTCTGTCCTTTGGCACTCCGCACAGAGGGGGGAGATCAGCTCCGTCTGCCCGGACTTCGTGCTATGTATCAGTTTAATATACTCACAACAGGTGATATGTACGTCTCGCGCTCGCGTCCTGATGAATGAAACCGACCGTGCTACAAATTGCGTGCATGATGTTTACGAAATGTCTGCTTGAGCGTACATGGTACTTTTTGGACGGGGCTCGTCCAGTGAGCCTGGCTTACGGTGACAACGCGCCAAATGGGCTGCCAGGCTGCCCACACCGTCGGAACCCGCTTGACCCTACCACGCTCGGGTACCCAGGGCCTTCGACTGGGTTCCCCATTGCGCGGAGGCTGTTGACGAAGCAGGACATGTGAAGGACAGTAAACAGCTGCCCGCGCCGTACCTGATTTTATACGCAGCACCTTTCGCAGACGTCCTCGATTCGGACGTCTCTGCGGTGAGTACCCTGATGCGCGAGCATAAATGACGCATCTGCCACTTGTCTGACCGCATCGGAGAATATGCTCGTGCAAGACGTACCTTGCTTGATTGCCTGAGAGATGTACAGCTGGCCAGCCGCGCAGCGACGTCATATTGATATCGCTGTCGATTATATTGTATCGGACAGAAGGGCGTACCACACGTAACCAGCAAGTTGATGGTGACGCCGGCCTTGAGTTCATTGGACTAATATCCACCCTAGTAGCCTGTGTTCTTGCTATGATCATTGGCCTGGTCGCAAACGCGTACAGCAGCGTGTGGCACACCGGTATTCTTTCGGTGGCGTGCAAGAAGCCTTCGAATTTGATCGACCTCCCTGGCTGATACAACACAGCCCGGGCCTAGCCGACCAGAACGACAGTGACACTGACAGAGTGAGGGCAATCGATCAACTGTAGGTTAGGGTCGCCCTCGTATGTATGATGCCCGGGCGCAGTGGGGAAATGAGTTTCTTGATGGGATTCACCTGGAAAGGACTGCGGCGTACTGCCAGTGCAACGAGAGCGTAAGCGACGTCCGTCCGATGTTCAGGGAGTAATGTCGGGTGAGCAAAAAAGGCGAGTGGTTTTCCTGGTTTTCCTGGCTGCAGCCATGTCTGACTCTGCAGGCTATCATGAACACTTCGTTAATTTGAGAGGTTTGTTACTTCTGCGGTGACTTCTGTGCGAATGTCGTACCACGTCTGTACATACGGCTGCATCCTCATACTTGGCAGTTGCAAGCAGCAAGACGCAGCCGTATGAATTGATGCGGCACAGCGAGCGACCCCCTCTTGAATGATGATTAGCACGCACTTGCACGAGTCGGGAAAGTCTCGGGCAGAAGTTCATAGGTAGAAGTACTCGATGGCCGTAGTCAAGGCTATCAAATATAAGCAGATCATGAAGCGGAGTGATGCGCGACGTTCTATACACAGCGGCGGGCAAGCAGAATCGACGCACTGTAGTCACGGTAAATCCGCGGAAATGAGACTCTGAGAGAGAGCGGGCGTTGCCGGCATCCCTCCCGCCACGTCTCAATGCAGCAGAGGCGGAACCAAGTCGGCGTCTGTCAGAATAGCATCAACATCCTCAAGCTGCGCTCATCCACAGAGGAAATGGCATCTGCGAGTTCTTGACAGGAATTGGAAAGAACGCCGAATCTCGGCGTCCAGCTGTTCGCCCCAGGACCTTCGCGGAGGTTGGTTTGGCAATGACTAATCTTTACCCTGCGAGCCTATCGCCATGAGGTATCCCCACAAGCCAAAATATCCCCGAATCCTCCTTCTCCAGCCTGCAGCGCATACGGACTGCGGTATTTACTTCCTCGGGCTCTCCTTATGCACATCGGATGCACACGCCTGCGTCTCGCGCAGATTCGCAGAGCCTCCGCGTCCCGACGGCTTTGTTGAAATAGGAAACACGCCTGCCTTTTACGTGCGAGAAATCGCTGGAGACGTCTCCCCTGCCTCGGGAATGCCGAGGAATGAAAGAGGAACGGTTCCACCGCGCGAAGCGGAGACGTTCGCCGTGGATGCCGATTTAAGTGCACCTCACGCTCGAGTTCGGAGTGGAAGGTTCACGCCCCTGCGCTCCCCATACCCCCTCTTGTTAACCTGAACCCAGGCGATGAAGGTTTCTACCGATAGCACCCTTGAAGGGTCGATTCGGACGGCGGTCGCGGATGTGGGCGACGCGGAGAAGGGAAAGGCTGGTCTCCCGACCGGACCTGTGGCTAATGACCAGGCACTGGTCACAGACTATCCAGACGGCGGACTGCGAGCATGGTCTGTAGTGCTGGGATCGTATCTTGCATTCTTCTCTACCTTTGGCCTCATCAACTCCTATGTGAGTCCGTGTCTTCGTTCATAATCACGACTAGTTAGGACTAAGCCTGGCTGTAGGGAGTATTCCAAGATTATTACGAAACAACCCTCCTCCGCGACTCCTCGCCGTCTGTCATATCGCTCATTGGCGCCTTACAACTGTTTTTGCTATATGGACTGGGTCCAGTACTCGGGAGAGTATTCGATGTACACGGGTTGCGAGTTCGTAGTCCAAAAATCTGAATTGTGGCAAACCAAAACAACTAGTTGACATAGTGCAATAACAGGTTCTGATGCCTCTAGGCTCCGTCATCACCGTCTTCGCAATGATGATGGTATCCCTTGGGCAAGAAAACCAGACCTACCAATTCTTCCTCTCGCAGGGCATCCTCTTCGGCATCGGTGTTGCACTCGTGTGCGCCCTCCCTTCCATCCTATCCCCCCTCCTTTCCCTGCTAACCTGACTGGCCGTTGATGTTTTTACTCTAGATTCACGCCGGGCCTCGCGGTCATCGGCCACTGGTTTCGCCGCAAACGCGCCTTCGCGATCGGGATCGTCGCCTCGGGCAGCTCGCTCGGCGGCGTGATCTACCCCATCATGCTTCAGGAGCTCATCCCGCGCGTCGGTTTCGGCTGGGCGGTCCGCATCGCCGCGTTCCTCACCATGCTCTGCCTCATCGTCGCCTGCCTCACGCTGCGCACGCGCCTCCCGCTAAGAGGGCGTATTCACCTATCCGATGTGGTTGACTTGGAGGGGTTCAGGGACCCGAAGTACACGCTTTGTGGGATTGGCGCTTTCTTGTTAGTGGCGGTCCTGTTGAATTGGAAATGTGCCTTGTGCTGACGGAGTGCATGATAGGATTTTCTATGCACTGTTCACCCCATATTTCTATGTCGAGATCTACGCCGACTTCCGCGGGACACCAGGGAGCATTTCACGGTATTTGCTGGCAATCCTGAATGCTGCTGGGATCTTTGCTCGGGTCATCCCCGGGAAGCTCGCAGATAGCGTAGGCCCGTAAGTCATACCACCGGATTATTATATTCAGGCTTGTTGACGTATCAACGATTTGAAGGTTGAATATTCTTGTGCCGTGCACATTCGTTTCGGGCATCCTGTGCTTGTGCCTGTGGCTCCCAGCCAAAGGCGAGGTGCCAATCATCGTATTCACAGCGTTGTATGGTCTCTTCTCGGGTGAGCAGATATCGTACTATGTCAGGTTCCCAATAATAATATCTCGTAATAAACTCATTGCAGGCGCCGCTGTGTCCCTCATACCTGCCTACATCGCTAGCATCAGCCCCGCAGAAAAATACGGAGCGCGCTTCGGTGAGTCCTCCCTCCTTTCCTCCCCTCCTCCCTTATCTCTTACCCCTCCCGTATATGCAGGCTCTATCTACATGCTCGTAGCCGTTTCCACCCTCGTCGGCACGCCCACCGCCGGCGCCTTCGTCACCACCGTCGACCAAGCGCACTTCGCGCGCCTCATCATCTTCACCGGCGTTCTCACCATCGCTGGGGGCGCCGTCCTCGGCGGGTCGAGAGTCTTGCATTCACGGAAGGTTATGTTCAAGATTTAGTTAGGGGCCTGCTCAAGATCCTTGGAGGGTTGTTCAAGATTTAGTCCCGGGGCTGTAAAAAGGGTGGAATAGAGGCATATTTATTACAAAATGACTATGACTATCTATGATCATGACGTGACGGATAGATGTATCTGTAGAGTTTCTTGTATTATCACGATTTCTGGCATTTCGAGGTTTTACAGGGCATCCGGTGGAATACCGCCTGCCATTCGAGTGTATTCGACAGCATCAAGCGCATGCCATGAGCGCCAAACGTACTACTACCTCCGACGTAGTACTTCTTTGATCGCACACTAGTGCCGTACCGACTAGCAGGATCCCTGTCGCTGTCCTTCGTACTACGTATCAGTGTTTGATCATTGATGGTGACATCCAGCCTCCAACCATATGGAATGAAGTTGAGCCCGAGAAGCCCAACGTCTCCGCTCCAGGAGGCTGGAAATACGTCGAAAAGACATGTGGCGACCTCCTAGGTATTAACCAACATTCACGCTGATTATCTCACCCGAACAGCGGCCCATGGAAGAAGGCTGCATCATGATAACGCACGAGAAGAAATACTACATACGAGTTCGAAGGCGGCGAGTGCGAGACCTTCGTTAAGCGGAACCTCGTCTCGAATGAATACCTCACGAACTTCAAGGGCGAGACCGTCGTCCCCCGGCTCGTCATGGAGAGGCTCAAGAACGAAGTGGCCGCGCTCCGCTATGTAAGAGAGAACACCAATATCCCGGTGCCTGCCGTGCGCTGCGCCTTCGAGGTGGCGATGGCAAGACTGTCAGAAGAGCAGAAGCAGGTAGTCATGCCCGAACTGGAAGAGTATGTGGAGAGCTTGCATAAGATCACGTCGAGGCAGATGGGCGGGATCGGGGGCGTGACGTGCCTGCCCTACCGTGTCGATGCGGCCCTCAAACCCCACGCGAGCGTCCAGTTCGAAAGAGCTGATACACCGGAGTTCGTTCTGTGCCATAACGCCCTTTCGCAGCATAACGTTCTGGTGAACGAGAAGACGCTCAAGATTACCGGTATTATAGACTGGGAGTACGCGGGATTCTACCCGCCCGAGTTCGAGGGGAAGTTCTACAAGCGTCCGAGCCCGTCTGCGGCGTTGGAAGGGGAGGTGGATGATGTCCCGATGCTGCTCGGGCTTGTCGACGAAGTGGCGGAAGAAATAGTACCTGGTGCGCCACACGGACATATATATTCCGTCTATTAATTGGCCAGCAGCTGTATCTTAGTGCGAGGTCATGGCAAAAGCAAGAGTGATAAGAAAGTGATGGAGACACGTACTCTGTCACGGGGCATTGTCTTAGCCTGTCGATTGGATGGGCGGGTACTCCAAAATGTGGGAGACCTTGAAGAATCCAACCCGCCATTCTCATTATCCGCATTACGAGTCTCAACGAACGTACATGTGAACTCGATCTAGAAGGTATATGCAAGAAGTCGCTGCCATTATAACATCTTATATGCCAGTGGAATGAAATCAGAAAACTGCCGAATATGAATTGGTATATAGTACTCACATTGTAAGATAGAATCGTGAGCGTCGTTGCGCGGTGCGCGTATCATCATACACTGACGAGCTATACTCTCTCCAAGTAAGCACCTCAGGCCACGGGGTGAGCACGATATGATGGTAACTTACGTCGGCTACCCCTGCTTCCTCCGCCAGGAAGACCTCGTTTCAGTCATTATAGTCATCACCCCCTTGTGCGAATGATCATCATCAAAGACATCCCGCCTGAGCGAGGGCTCCGCCATCGTAGTCGCAGCATTCATCTGCGACTCCGCGGAGCCCGAGTGCTGGGTCCCCGCCTCCTCGATGCCGGCGCCGATCTGCTGCAGATCGTATGTGTTCAGGATGATCGAGCGCGTCCACGACGGCTGCGGCGGGAGGGACACACGCTCGGGTTCGCAAGGCGGGTGGACGGAGGGCGCGTCGATGTCCTTGCCGCGTTTGATCACTCGATACAGGTAGGTCACGATAACGAGCATGTTCGCGACGATCAGGGATATACCGGCCTGATACTCGTCAGAGGCAGCGGGCGGATCATAGTTGGGGGCAGAGCGTACCTCGACGTGGGCGGTTATATCGGAGAGGAGACCTTCGGGTCCGAGGACATAGACCGCGTGAGGAATGCTGACGGCTGTGGTTACAAGGCTCGCGGAGAATATGGTCGATAGGAGGATGCGGTGCGCGCTGGGCAGGCGCAGGCGGGATAGTAAGACCCATGGGATTGCGACCAGGACGATGTCTGCTACCACATCCGCTGCTCGGCAAGCTGAGTCGAAGGGTAACAGCAGCATGGCCGGGGACTTACTGGTGAGCTCGGCAATAGCGATCCCACGCCCCAGATGGCATTGCAGGATCGGAGACTGCTGCCATTTAGGGTCGTGCACGCAGACGTACACCTTGCTTACGATAACACCGGCGTACATTAGGAGGAAGAGGACCACGGCGAGATAAGTGCAGCGACGAAGGGTCATCTTCGGCGGCGTGATTCGTATGACGGAGTAAAGGATGCTCAGTCGGGCCGTCCTGGGCTAGCGTGTAAGAGCAGGCTTGGTAACATAGGCTCATACACACCATAGTACGGATGTGAAGGATATCGACGAGAGCCAATACGCGACCGTCCGGGCGTGTAGTGATTGATGTAGAGGACCGGTCCCTGTATACCATCCGTCTAATAAATGAAATAAGCGCCAAGATCGATCAGACGTACATGGGGTGTCAGTGAGCATCCAGACACCAATCAGACATATCAAGTCCAGCACCATTGAAAGACATGCCAGAACGTCATCCCACCAGAAGCTCAGTCGGAACCACCGGTATCCCAGCCGGAACGCAGTGCACAGAATCGCGACCGGGTGCACGATGGTCACTGCCACTATTATCGGCGCGTCATGAGCATCCGTGCAGTCGAGGTCATGCGATACACATACCTCTCAGCGCGGTAAGAGATGGCTGGCTGGGCGCATGAGGTATCAACACTGGCAGTGTCATGAAAACCCCAAAGCTCTTGTTCGACCTGCCAGCGAACGCTGGTAAGGTGTCATAAGAGAGCGGAAGTTCCTTGAAGGGGATGAGGGCGCTCCGTCCGGTCCTGTTCGGTCGTTAACGTTATGAACCTTGTCAGTTCGGTCACGAATAGGCGTCTAGCCGTACACCGTGGCGCGAGGTTGGCGCGAGACAAGGCTTCACCGTACGCTATATACGTCCAGTCTCGCAGCCATCAAACCGACGTCTGACGGAAAATATCGCAGCGCATCAAGAGCGCGTCGCCGGTTCCGGACGCCTCGTGCCACGCAAAGCCGTGGCGGCATGCTGTTATGCCGCTGAACATGCCAGGCTCCAAAATAATATTGTAAAGATACTGTCGTCTGCTGCCATCGTTGTCCAGGGTATTGGACCGTCGAGGGAGAGTCGGAAGGACTCAGGTGTCCTCATATCAAATTATCGCGTATAATTTCCCTTGTCTCCATAATCTACACAGTAAATACATCCTTATGTATTATATAATATTTAAGACCCTAACCCTGGCGTCTCTCACCACTGCTGTGAGTGCCTATTTTTAGGGCGGATGCCTTTACCCTTGAACGAACGCGAAATGGCAGCTTCTGGCAGCGCCCTGTCCGAGCCTTTGTCTGTTGTCGTCAGGCCGCCTTCTCCAACCAGCTAATCATATAGGCCGAGGAACGACGGCGAAGAGCACTACCGCACGATGAAGCTTCACCCAATTGGAATGGTATTCCTCGCGGCCGTGCCAGGCACATTGGGATGGGGCGCAGCGGGTACGTGATCGACGAGATTGCAGACAGCCTCGGAATCAGTTACACTGTCTTCGACAGGTCACGAAATCATCGCTACAATAGCAGAAATCTACCTCCACCCAACCGTCATGCCGACCATCTGTGCCATCTTGGACGCTTCTCCGAATTGCCACCTCGCCCCGATCGCAAGCTGGGCAGACAGGATCAAGTGGCAGATGCGCTGGAGCGCGTCTCTGCACTATGTAGGCGCGAAGGACGACTACCCTTCCGAGCGGTGCGAGTTCCCTGGTCCGCGCGGGTGGAACGGACGGGAGGGGCATAATGTGCTCGGGGCCATCAGGAATGTGACTGGAATATTGGCGGAATGGGCGGACAGCAGAGATCCGGCACGCTCTGAGACTCAGCGACGGCGAGGTGTCGGAACCGAGGCAGAGGACGAGTCGGCTAGCGAGGCGCTCAAGTTCCTCGTGCACTTTATCGGCGACATGCACATGCCCCTCCACCTGACTGGGCGCGACCGCGGCGGGAACGGGGACAAGGTCACCTTCGACGGGCGTGTAACTAGTGCGTATCCTTCCTCATTTCCATTCTTACCTGAAAGGCTGACACTTCACGCAGACCTGCATTCGGTGTGGGATTCGTACCTCATCGCCCAGCGTATCCGCACCCTCCCGCGGAACTACACCCGTCCGCTGCCCCTTCCCGAAGTCGAGCGCGTCCTGCGCGACGCGATCTACGACCCCTACGTGCGCCGGCTCGTCTGGGAGGGCCTGGGCGAGGGCGGGCGCTGGCCAGCAGCCGAGATGAACTCGTGGTTCGAGTGCCCGTCCGGGACGAGGAGCTGGGCCGAGACGCTGAAGCAAGCGGTCTTGGGCTACCGCGAACGGGGGGAAGACACTGACGACGACGTTCTCTGCCCGTACCACTGGGCTAAGCCCATCCACCAGCTGAATTGCGACTTCATCTGGCCCGCCGCGCTCGACGAGCCGCCGTACAAGCACCTGTCGTCGTATGCGTGTGCGGACAACGACGACGGGTGCCTCTCCCCCGAAGACGAGGTGGCGTTGCTCGAGAACGAGCCGGGAGTGCAGGGGAAACCGCATGCGCCCTATCTCGAGCTCGATACGCCGGAGTATGCGGGTCTTATTAGGGAGGGGTGGGTCGTGGAACGATTGGTAGCTATGGCGGGCCTGAGGTTGGCGGGGACACTGAATTGGCTGTTTGCGGACCTTGAGGAGGAGGGGGATGTGAGAAGCCGGAGGTTGTGGATCGAGAGGGTGGCGCTGTAATTATACAACGGGTCGATACATGGGACTGGAGCTTTATCATAGTGTAAGAGTGCAAGTGTATTGTTCATAGTGCTATTGGTTCCAGATTGGCATGTTTGCGCGTGTAGACTAGGTCGTTCATTGCTGACCTCACGGGTATCACGTCAGTTCTCTCCCTTGTTTCCCTGTCTGAGTGCTACGTTCGAAGGGAGTTGGTGCACATTGGCAGCTTACGTCTCAGCTCATGTTTTCGGTGTCTACGCCTGGGAATGATTGTTACGGAACATGTGGTTACAGCACCAAGTACGAGCCGTCTGGATCGGAGACTCTGAGAATACAATTTCTACTTCTAAACTCGAAATTGTAATGTCTATAGTATGCGAGTAGCGAGTAACGCGGACCTCAAAGAGATTTACCGTTCCATGCTTCATCCACTCTCGGATCCTTGAAGTACTCCCGGAATTGTGTGATTGTCCATATCCAGTTCACAGCGGGCTCTGCGGGGGAGGCGATAAATGTTGTGTCCAATACTGTTGGGTTCACCCAAACGGCACGTGCTTGGGGATTACCATAGTCGGTGTACATGACTACGTCTGTGAGGTCGATCATGCCTTTCAAGGGAGAACCAGGTGGCTTCAAGAGCTTGCATAAATCGCCACACTAGGTTGTGGCGTCAATCAAAGCCAGCCCTCTCTTGATGTCAGGATGAAGTGAAGAGACTCACCATGTTCCCCGGCAAGAGACGCGGAATTTTCTTTTGTAGGGTACGGACCCAGTCTGGAGGAGACCGCACGTAATCGAGGAATGATTGATCGTGATCGACGTATTCAGTGACGTGACATAAGCCAAATTTCTTCCATTCTCCTCCTTGCTGATACTTGCACTGTGCAGAGCACCCATTCAAGCCTTGATAAGTGAAAATCAGGTGGCGCATGGATTCACTTACTTCATACACCCCGAAGGAAAAGGGTATAGCAATCCCCTGATTTCTTTTGGCAATCTTATACGCCATTAGTTCATGCTCCAGTTTCAGCTCTCGTGCTTCTCTATCTGCGGTGAAGATCAGGCACGCTCAATGAAGCAGGGTAAAGATAAAAAGCTACCATTATCGTCAGGACATAGGTGCATTTTCAATGCTAGACAAAGCGCACTTCGAATTCCTGAGCGGCTGCACAACAGTACGCTTGGCTGGCCATACACACAGAACGCTTCCAACGTGAGCTCCTCGGGACGCGGTTGAGTCAGATCCTCAATGAGCTGTTCGGTTCCGTGTCTGTAGTCCACTTTGGACCGAGTCGCGGGGGTGTAAGGTCCATACTTGTCGCAGGGATGGAGAGTTAAGCAGCCTAGTAAGACTACTTTAGCAGTATCCCGCCGAGGATGGCGCGCATGGTGTGCCAGGAGCTCTCGAGGAGAACGAACGTCCGTTTGAAGGATAGTTTCCATCGGTATGGAAAGGGAGCCAGAGTTTGTAAAGAAAGAAGATGGTATTTGCTGTTGGGATAGCGAGGGTGAACCTCTTTATATAGTGGCTTCGTAGCCACACAAGTGTCCATCGGGCTCGGGTGCCACATCCGAATCTGTCGTGTATGCCGGTCGAGTGGCCATGCAGTCAAAGCGTCTTGTACTGAAGAAGGTGGATCACAGATCACGGCACAGTTCTTGTCTTCGGCGCCACACTTTGTCCCTGGTCTTGTACTAAACGGCTGACGCATAGAACGTCGGATAAATCGGTGATACCATGGAATAAAGAACAACTTGTATATGAGGCGCAGACACTATAGCATGGTCGTGTGCATTTGAATGCAATCCTGTGTCATAGGCCAACCGAGGCTTGAGTGCTAAGCGTAGTCGGGACTGGCATGTTTTGAGCTGGGTCTCCTAGTCTTGGCTTGGGTGATTACAGAGCGCTACCTAGACAAAGAGCGTCGTTGATTATTTCCAGGACATTGCTAGCGTACGAGTCTGTGGGTTTCCGAGCCTCCATGCAACTCGAGGACAAGAGGTAAAGGCCTTCGACTCTTCGGCAGTTGAATACACCGACTACCTGTCGGACGGTACTGACCCTAGCTTGGTCATCCCATCGGAAATAGTTCTGAAATATCTTGCCGTACTTATGCAAAGAGCTTCACAAACAACGTTCCGCCTGACGATGATAAGTGAACTCCATGGGATACAACCAGATGCATCGCTGAGGGCAAGGTCGTGGGAATGGTGCGTGGGAATACTGTTTTGCATGTCATTCCGATTCCTCTAGAATCGGTTTACAGTGCTTTGCATAAAAGTCCGGAAACTGCGTTTCGCGCGTTTCTGTTTGTCCCAGCCAAACAATGCCTTATAGGGTAACACCTGACCGAGGGCGCGACGGTCCTCGAGTCAGCCTATATCACTCCTGGGACACAAATGCCCGTCTCAAGGCTGAATAACGTTCAGATCTGTATCTCTTCAGGATATCGAGCACGCAGAGGTCAAAATCCCCCAAGAACGACCCTCATACATGGATGTCGAAGCGTCCCGCCAACCAGTCAACAGCCCGTGCTACGGTGATCGACTACCCCATATAGGTTTGTTTGGCTGGCACAAACAACATTTCGCGAATCGCGGTTTCCGGACCTTTATGCAAAGCACTGTACTGTTCAGTCGTTGTATAGGGCTCTCTGGTGATCGAAAATTGCCAGCGTTGAACAGGGGGGTATACCCCTTATAGCCCACATTACCTTACACTGGGTACAATACCCACATTGAGCCACCGAGAAAGTGTGAAAGGAACCGGACAAAGGTCAAATTTTGTTCATAGTGTTGCCTTGCAAAACAAATGAAAGTTCAATGAACAGTGTTGAACAAAGATCATATCCTGTGTCACAATCAAATTTTTGTGCACTCAAAAGTAGTATTATTCTAATTTGTTTCACTGACTGTGCAATGGACAATCATGAAAGAAGTTTGACATTTGACTGATTATTTTCAAAGTTTTGTGCATGCTCAATATGGGTGATGTACCCAGTGTTAACTGTAACGGGAGCACCCTCCTTAAATGGAAGGTCCACCGATTCAAATCTTAGCACCATCAGCAAATAGGAGCTATTGCTTCTCATGTCAATAATTACCGTTTGTGAATAGGGACTAATTCCAGATGTGGTCTCTGCACGGCACGATCCTTTCAAGATCTCGGGCCAATGGCACTGTCAGGCATCCCCCAGCTGTGTGTGGAATTGCGCCGATGGCAAGTACCCTGCTGCCTACGGCACAAGATTGGTAAGTTACATACGAGGCGTAGTACTGGCAGCATTGAGGCCTCAGCCTGACGACGTGCATCTCAGCTACAGTATGCATGTGCACTGACTCGATAGTAATGCTACCCGAGTGTAGAACTGAAGTAAACAGTGTATTGTGTATTGAAATAACTGTACTTGAAACCGAGTATAGGATGATTGAAGGTTCTAGCCACACACAGTTATGTTTGAAAGTTCAGTTACGAACTTATATGATTTAGTATCACTGAGATCAACATATAATAACTAGGAGTATTCTTGATGCCGCGCAGCGCCCGGGAGGCTAGAAAGACTATTACCTACTTGTAGAACCCTTGCCACTCGTTTACCTTACGAGGAATCGGACCTGGCGTGCCGCGCAGCGCCGAATACTTCCCAAGTTGGCTATTGCAGCCATTTGCAGATCGATGGGCACCACTTTAAAAAGTCGCATATGGTCAGAGTGCGTCGGAGATGGTGCCAGGGATGTCGGAGGACCGAAAAGAAGTCTAGGTGGTCAGACTTTGACACCTCGGAGCTTGATTTCCCCTCTCCGACATGGTCCAACTGCAAATGATTTTTCAAGAAGTGGGCCCATGCAAATGGCTGTGAGCAATCCAATAAAGCCCCGGACAGCCATTTCCGTTACTCGGGAAGCTCCGTCTGGCGCCGGCACCTTACCCCTCCTTTGCGGGATGGGATGAATTAATTATCACATAGGTGTTTGGCTGGCCAGCTGAACACTTATTGCCATCCTGCGCAGTCCCAATGGATATAATTTAAAGTAATAATTATTTCGAGTCTTTGACGTATACAAGAGATATTTAGCTCCTCCTTGATTTGGTGTGCAAAGTTCACAGCCTGTAGCTGCTGTAGAGTGCAGTTCACAGCATGCAGCTGCTGCGGTGAAGTGAGATGGAATTTAGTACTGATTGTTTACTTCGATATGTAAGTGGGATGCAAAGTATAGTCTATGCATGGACCGGAGTCTAGCTGCAAGGGACGCGAGATAACTCTAAGTCCACGCTGTCTAGCCGTGTGCCACTGGAGCCAAACATGGCACGCCGGTCCTTGCCAGTTGGTCGAAAAGAGGTAGCTTTACTGCGCCCCCGTGCAAACACGTACAAATATACCATATCGAGAAGAATGTCACGTGATGCCGGCAAACGCGGGCTTCCCGAGGACCCCTGAAAATACCGATGGAGGTTAGATACCAATTCCGTGAAAAAGTGAGGTCTGGAGGCCGTATGTTAGATATGGTTGCGGTAAAATGTGGTGAAGCACCCAAGAGGCCGGATACTTCAGTCCCGGTAGAATTGAGGCTCGATATCCAAGGTCAGATACCATTGTGGTATATACCCGGCTTCTCCCCGCACTCAATCGCTCGCTTGTGCAGCCACAATTTGCCCCAATAAATATTTGAGCTGAGATTGCACTATTTTGGCAACATTGGGCCTATATATGGCATATTGTAGCGAATAATGCCTTATTTGGATCAAATTTGGCTAAGAAAAACCCTTGTAACTGGATCAAAATTCGGAGCTTGTATATCTGGGTCCCGGTAAATCTCGAGCCACACGGCTAGGTTAGTATCTCGACCCGGTAAAAACAGCCAAATTAGGCGAAATTCGGTCCCGGTAAAAATGAAGGAAATCAGGTTCTCTGGTATCTAACCTCCATTGGTACTTTCAGGGGTCCTGCTTCCCGCCGCGCGCGTGTCCGGCCAGTTAGAGTATCTTCCAGTCTGGACTAAGAGGGTCATATAGATGGGGCAAAATAAGTTTTCACTGAAATCTATATAGCTGTGATACATGTGGCTGACAAGGTATATAAGAAAGCCAACAGTAAGGAAAGTTAATAAACCCTAACCCTAAAAGTGCAAATAAAAAATGTGCACAGATAGGAATTGAACTCCAGACATCCAGTACTCAATAAATGCCGCATAACCACTATACTAAAGAAGCGATACAAATCTTACACTTTAACATACTATAATGGCAATGCAATTGGCGTTTACTTAATACGGCTGGGTCCAGTTATTTTTAGTGACGCGGCCGGAGGGGTCGGAGGTCACATGATATTCCTCTCGAAAAGGTAATATTTGGTCGTGTTTACGCGGGGGCGCAATAGCAAAGACGGTCGAAAAGTGCGACGTATTGCGGGTTTGGCATAACCCCTCTCAAAGGAGGGGCACGCTGTGGCGCGTGGCGATCGTCTAGGCGCAGACGTCATCTCGGTAGCGCATCCCGGCTCTCTCTTTTAAATAGTGAGCATTAAAGTAGAAGACATCTGTTGCTAGATACTTGCGGTGCTTAGTCCTTTCGTATCCCGTCACAATCGCCGGTGTATCGCGGCACTGAGAGCATTGTACCTGCCCCCTTCAGTATCGACGGCATTTCTCCCTGGAGTCTCTCTCCCTCTGCCGTAATCTCTCGGCTTGTCATAGCTTCTAGAAACTTTACTACGATCGCCATGAAGGAATCCTTCCCTCCCCAGACGATCGTGTCCGCTGGGTCAACGCGGGAAAAGACTCAGCGATGTGAATACACGCAGCCAAAGATTCCAACATGTCCAGTGTCTCGGTAACAGGGTCTCGTACCATTGAATTTTTTGGGAATTGAGTGTTGTAGAACTCACTTTCGTCTAGAGGGCTAGTGTGTCGCATACATTGTCAGAGAGTCACTTCTCGATACTTGGACGTCTAACGAAATTCATGAGATGACCGAACCCGAGTAGATACTTCTTTCCGTTCATTTCCGGGCAGCACTTGGACATGAAATCAGTAATTGCAGACAGAAAGACAAAACGGAAGTGGCGTCCACGTACTTCGTATGTACCATATGAATAGGGTACCTCAGCACCTTGCAACCTCACTAAGTCCTCGTATTACCTGACGTCTTGCGGAAGAAGGTCGTGGCAGTAGTCCACTGTTCTATTCAAGATTTCAGAGATAGAAAACCACTCTGCCTTCTCCTCGAAGATCTTCAGGGAAAATTCCAAGCCAGGATGCCTCTTGCCGTCCGCTCCGGCTGGGAGACAGTACCAGAGCCTGTAGTACCTCCTACTAGCAAGGAAAATGTCGCACTCAGGGTTATGATGCTCGACATCGACATCGGAGGGGAGCGAAGGGACAAGCACGAGTTCGGATTCGCCAGAGGCATCCGGCAGAACGGTACAAGGACGGCGAGGGTGGAATTTCTCGGGATTGCGCCTGATGTTCCTGCTATGTCCAGTGGACACCGCTGCCAGGGCGCGGTGTTCGTCTACTGGTGACGCCTTAAGCTTGAACAGAACGGCAGGCTTGAAAGGAGGCTCGCCTATGCACTCCTGGAATTTGCACCAATGGTGGTAGAATTCCGAATAACCGCCAGAGGTGGGAGAAGACATGCTAGGAGTGGGTGAGTAGGAGTAGAGTACGTGCCTGAGCATGGGTGTTATTTATATACAGAATAAGCATTTTGTGCCACACCCACAGGGTGGCGGTTGCTTGACAGACGCTTTGACCGAGGAATATGGCGTAAAGAACAAAGACAGATTCCACAGGGCTCTGGATGGCCACTCGGATTATCTTCCCTAAAATTGATGCGTCATAGCGAGGAGAGACGAAGATACAGGAAGGCGCCACATCAGCCTCGCTGGCGAAGGTTATCACGAGCAAGGGGGTCTTCAGTGCCCTTAATAGTCAGCGCATCTGCAGAAGGGCAGGAAAAAGACAAGATATATAGAGGAATTCTGTTGACAAGAGAGTCCAGGACTTAGGGCAATCATGAGCAGCGGACGATACCCTACGCCCAGTCTTGTTCAAGCTGCGCCCAAATTCGCGAATCTCCATAAGGAAAACAACAATAGATTGACAACAGCGTAGATTGACGCAATCCTGCCACGGTCCACAGACAGAGGGGCGTAACTTGACATGAATGGTAGCCGTGCCCTTTATCGACCCATGACACAACAGGAATCGGAAAAACAGCATCATTTCCTGAAAGCCACATAAGTAGTTGTCTGGGAAGTGCATCGGAGCTGCGTGATCCGACTACTAGGTAGTGGCTGACTGGCCCATTCGACTCGTCCAGTTGCAGTATACAGAAGAGGCGACTTGAATTCAAACCTGTGGCGGTGGATATTATTATTAATTATTGATATTATTGATAACTTGTGCAGAATACACGTGATCCACGCGACGGTCAGCGTCACGTGCTACGCGTCGTTTATTGGAAGCACGCGACCTGCGTAAACTCAACTTATATTTAAAACCTTCCCGGAGAATATTCCTCAACACAAACCCTCGACATTTGTCCCCTTCAACGTCGACCGCGACGACGATGCCTCTGAAACGTGCCCTGGAATCCTCTTCGTCGTCGCCGCCACCGGTGGCCAAACGTGTCGCTGGGCCGTCTTCCGTCTTTTCGACGCCGTACACGCCCAAGAAGCATAGGCTTCCAGTACCGTCCGACTCGCCAACAAATCCCTTTAGTCTTAACCGCAAGCAGAATGCGAATGCTCTCAAACTACCGCCCCCCATCTCCTTCAAACACCACCTCGCTTTGCGGATGCAGCTCGTGACTCACCCGTCTCGAGCGGACCTGTACGAGGGCGGCAAGATGCCGCCGTTCAGGATCGTCTCGGTACCGACGAACTACACTTTCAAGCTCTTCCACAAGCTCATCATGTTCCTGTTCGAGTGCGAGGAGCCCGTCTCGAAGGGGAAGGACGATGCGCACCTGTTTGAACTCGTGCGCCGCGTTGCGATGCATGCCACGAATGAGCGGCCCGGGCAGATGAAGATGGGGTCGATCCACGCGAAGCTGTCCAACGAGCGGGACCCTTACTATCGGTGTGGTGGCTTGGTCGAGGAGGTTGACGAGGAGGATGAGGATAGCGACGACGGTGACTGGACCTGGGAGAACGAGGAGGAGCTCACTCTGGAGAATGCGTGGCCGCATGGACCTGATCTTAGGAGGGGAATTGTCTATGTATGTGCACCGCGATCCACCAGATACTCTGACTAACCAGCAACCTTCAGCACCATAATAATTACACCATCATACACATCACGATAAACACCGTGCCTCTACCAGAACGAAAGGGTATAGGCAACCGGCCGTACACCTTCCTCGCCCGAGGTCACATCGACCTCAACGAGCAGCCCGCTCCCGCGCCCCTCACGCCGACCACCGACGCCGGAGCCAACGCCCCCCTGTCGCCAAAGTCCCCGCCCAAGTTGCGCCTGCCGCTCTTCAAGCCGAAACTCGGTATATTTCCCTCGGGAAAGAACGCGCTGCCGCTCGCGCCGTGGATGTCGCGCCCGCAGGACAAGGAGGCGGCGATCTCCGTTCTGCGGTGGAACGCGCACGCTGCTTGGGAGAACTACGTCGACCGGTGCCGGGAGGTGGAGCGGCTGCGGGCGTTGCAGCTCGCGCGCGCGCAGAAGGCCCGCCGGGTGGAGAGGGAGAGCGATGCGCCCTCGTCGGACGCGATGCCCAGCTCGGACTCGTTCGCCGATGTACGTGTCTCGTCGTGCATTATTCGCTGCCCACTGACCGGTAGCTGCAGGCGCCGACACCGGGGCTGGCGCTCATGTCGTCCTCGCCGTTCCCATACGACAGCATCCCGCCCACGCCCGCGCCCGTGCAGCCGCTGCACCGGCTCATCGTCGACCGCACGAGCCGGCGGCTCTCGCGCCTTGCTGAGAAGGGCCTCTACGAGTTCGACAGCGACGAGGAGGAGGTCGACCAGTTGGCCGGCGATGAGGGGCTATTTGATGGCGACGCGGCCGTCCAGCTCGCGCGGGGGAATAGCAAGATCAAGGGAATAGATCGGGACGAGGACGGGTGGACGTGGGAGGAGCCCGTGAAGAAGGAGACGAAGGAGCTGGAGGAGGTCGTGGTGTACCAGGACGACGAGGTGGAGATATGAGCGACGGAGCAGCGAATGGATATGATACTAATATGTATTACAGGTGATAGTCTCCTTGATTTCGTTTGTATAGTACACGACTATGCGTAGCTGCAGTCACTCTTAATTCTTCCTGCCTATATGTTGTTCGATGTACATGGCTGACTATATTACTGATTGCGAACGTGTAAACAGATATTCTCAACCTGATGGTGAACGTAGCCAGGCTCTCTTAACCTTTTGATACAAGTCCTCTTCAAGTGACCCAGCTTTGAGGACATCAACTTCGACGGCGAGCTCGGCCCTTGACAATATGCGACGAAGGATCTCCTCCACAAGGCGACTATCGTTATCCTGTCTTCTTGGCAGAGGACGGAAAGCCACGCTTCGGAGAGCCGGGAAGAGGTCGGTTAACCAGGAACGACCAGATCCGTCCCCATAGGGCTTCAAGGCTGTCAACCAACTGAAACGAGAAGGATCGGGACTCTTGGCCAAACTGAACATGAGAGCCCAGATGGTGAGGTGGGCTAGGGACGGTGCACTATGCGAGAGGCTGAGGAGCATATCTGCGACCCCGTTGAACCCTGGATGATGCGTTCTCCCCTCGACATGCAGTCTCAATAGACTCGGGAGAAGTGGAATCGGAGGCGAACCCAGAGTCTGATGTGTGACTCGGTCCTCGCAATCGCCGTGGATGATCAGTTCTTCAAGCATGGGAAGCGACACGTCCGGCAGTAGGAAGTCGCGTCGTGCGTGCGTGAACACCGTCAATGTCCGAAGGTAGTGGGAGACGACTGGGAGAAGCTCGTGGAGGACAGCGCGCCATGCTTGCGACAGGGCCTGCGGAGTGTCCGAGCAGCTTTCTTTATCGACGTGACATAGGTCTGGAGAGCGGTCGCATAACAGCAGACACTCTACTTTCGGGGTAGACTCCGGATTTCCCTTCATGACTCGAAGGAAGGAGGACATCTGCGTGATGCCTTCCAGCAAGACAGACTGGTATCTGAGCGGTGCAGACACTTTGTGAATGAATTTAGAGACGAGCGAAAGAGAGCAACCTGTCCTTCCGTCGTCGGTGCAAGCGAGTGAAAAGATGGGTTCCCATATCTCGACCGGGAATTCAACCATGACTGTTTGACGATGGGGGAAGACTGTCGAGTACGTGTGAGGTATATTGTAGGCCTTTGAGTCGTTCAATATTGAGGGTCGACGTCCAGGCACAATCCTCGTGTTGATGTCCATAACTGCAGCAGCATGGGTCTTTCTCGCACCAATAACAGTTACGCTCTCACGGCTACCTGTGGTAATCTATACACGAGTGCTCTCTGGGGCGCAGAGACAGAAGAGTGACAGTGCAGGTGTATGTCCTCTAGCGGGAGTCTACAGGAGTCGCAGTATGAATGAGCATCAGAAATGAGTCCGAAGTGTTTGATTGTCAAAGCACAACAGCGAGGGTCTTATATCGCCAATTCTCACAGAGAACCAGTGCTAGCTCCCTTCAACCAAGACTCTTTCATTTCCGGGTACGGATCTTCGTCAATTCGACGAGCCGGGCGCAGCTCGAACTCGATGGCGTGCTTTTGTACGGAGACCTTCCGCAAAACCTCCCACTGCGCTTCATACGCCGCCTGAAACGCGAGCGTACCCTTGGGCTGCCACGGTACAAGGCGAACGGCGACATGCTGGAGTGAGGGGAATAATGCAGCCAGCTTCGTTTGAGAAGACGAGTCGAAATTTGGCTTGCACTTTGGCTTGGCCAGAGCCTCTCGCCAGTCGAACGATGCGTCCGAAGTGACTGCAAGGTGTGTAAGAGCCGGCGCAACTTTCGAGAGCATAGGGAGAAGAGAGGCTGTCATGCCGCCCTTCCAAAGACGCCGCGTCCCCCCGAAATGTAGCGCCGAGAGATTGGGAAGTGACACGGCCTGGTCGCATACGACGTCAAAATAATCGCCGTGCACACTCAGCTCCTCTAACGTTGGGAACGCCACAGGGGGGAGCAGGAAGGACCGAGCTCCTTTCATGTAGATCGTGAGCGTTAGCAGGGAGTGTGAGACGGCCGACAGTAACCGGCACATGAGGTCCACCCATTCATCCGATAGACGGATGAAGCGGGGAGAGGCGGAAGGACGATACGTGTGGTGTGGCGGCGTGTCGCATAGGAGAAGGTGTAGGATTTTCGATCGTCGGTCAGGATTCCTCTCCCAGACCGCAAGAAAGCAGGACAACCGTGCGGTGCCCTCGACTAGGACGGACTGATATCTGAATGGCGCCGATGCTTCGCGCACGAATTTGGAGACTAGCGATAGCGAACAGCCTGTTCTACCACCGTCGGTGCAGGCATAGGCAAATATATGTTGCCATAATTCGGTAGGGCAGTCTGCCATCCCTAGAGGTCTCAAAGAAGAGTGTCGGGCTGTCAAAGGGAAATTCGCCACGGTCCTAGAGTAGGGTCCAGCTTAAAGAGGATGCGAATGATACGCCCGCTCTAACGCCGACCCTCACGCCTCCCATGAGGAGTCTGTAGCAGGTATCCCTGTCTTCACAGGATAGATAGCGATGGGCGCACGCATCCTAGAATGACATCCCAGAGAGCCGTGTAGCAGGGCTAGAGCGATCCTGAGAGTGATCATATTGCGAGAACAGCGGAAAAAAGTGGGTTCTTCGTGCAGCATCCATGGAGCTGCGATGGGCGTTTATTCGACTATATTTTGATCGCAGTCATGGTCCGTCCCACGGGTCGTAGGCATTGCGTTCGTAGAACCATCCAAAATTTGAAGGGGATAAGAAAAGAGGCACATCACATCGGATTCTTTGCAATCCAACGTAAGTGCTCGGGGGTTATCTGATATGCCTTCATATGACTACGGCATCCATGAAGGCGACAGGGATCCTCCACTGCCTATCATTAACGTATCATTCGAGGCAACCGAAAGGCAGAGCGTCTACTGACGTACCTGATGGGCACACCGTCAAATCCGACGCGAGAAGTGTTTTGGGAAATACAGGCAACCTTAGGGAAACGAGGTAAAGATCTTCAGCTTGAGGGCTAAGGTTCACGGGACTGTCTCGATACTACCGCCATCTAGCCACTGTGACTTTACTTCTGCATAAACATTGCAATCAGGTAGCCGAGCTTCGAGTACACCGAATTGGACGAGGTGCTCTTTACTCGAGAGCGCCTTCAAGACTTCCCATTGTCTCTGGTACGCCTCGAAGGCCGGACCAGAGCGTGGCCATTTCCAAGAGAATGGACTGACCTCAACACGTCGGAGGAGAGGATACAGATGAGCGAGCTTCGGAAGCGTGGATCCCTGATCAGGCGGGCCTAGAGCGCTTTCCCAGTCGAATACAGAATCAGTGGTTATTATGAGGTGCCTTAGGGATGGGGTAGTGGGTGCTATGAGCCGTAGGAGAGTGTTGGTCATTCCAGTACGAATCCCTCCAGGAGAGTTAAGTCTCATTCCTTTGAAGTGTAGTTTCGAAAGCTTAGGGAATAACGAAGTCGGTGGAGACATCGGCATCTCGAAGTAGTCGCCATGGATGTTCAGCTCGTGAAGCACCGGGAGTGAGATATGGGGCAGTAAAAATGGACGTACACCGTATAAGTAGAACGTAAGCGTTCGCAGAGAGTGCCACACGGTGCAAAGTAGTTGCTGAAGAAGCCCGTTCCATTCCCCTAACCGACCCTGCGGGGAGCTGGGGCTTGAATCCCGGCGAGGCAAGTCGCATAGAAAGAGATGCAGTAAGTTTCGTCGTCCATAATGGTCACGATCGCGCTCCAAGCTTGCGAGGAAAGATGACATCTGCGGGACGCCCTCTAGCATGATACACTGATACCTGAACGGTGCTGAAAGTTGGCGAACAGATTTCGACACCAAGGACAGTGCGCATCCAGTCCTTCCGCTGTCTGTGCATGCGAAAGCAAAGATAACTTGCCATATTTCAGTAGGGCAATCAACCATATGGACGACGAGAGACAGTCGGCGACGATATGACTTGGAAGCAAGAGGTGTGATTGCCGAGGCTCATCCTTTATCCGATCAGTATCGACAGTCTAACACAGCATCAAGCGCTCGAGCTCGGAGCAGCGTGAGCACGAAGGCCCTCGGGCTGAACGATGTGCAATATGCGACTCGAAGTAGCCAAGGTCGGTCCGTGTACAAAGCCCGAGCTAATGAGTGGGTCGCAGCCGGGTAATATTAGTTATATAAGCACTCAGAGATAAAACATGGATAACATTGTACTGTCAGTTGAATGACAATTCCTAGTAAGACACCGATATTGATATACGAATACAATGATACAAGAAATGAGATGTGCGATCAGTTGAATAACCGCGAAAATATGACAAAATCAAATATTAGACATAGGCTACGGCATTCGCTTGTGCAATGCTGTTGACGTTGCAGTCTTGATAATAGAGCAGACCTCAGGAAAATTGGAGGGGTATGGGAAGTCGTGATCTCACGTACCAGTCAGTAAGGGCCCTCTGGCTGCTGCACTGGAGAGATTCGTTGAGATCGAGAACCTGCAAGGGCGTCACCGCAGTCCGGGCGCTGATGGGCCAACATACAAAATAGACTCAGAATAGAAACTCGTACTATTAGCGTGCTCTTACCTGGGGTGGCAATTAGGGCACCTGGGCGGATTGCCTGTTAGGTACGTCCCGCAAACGCTGCATGTAGCGGGTTCCCTGGGCCGTTCGAGCGACATGGAGACTAACATAACCTATGGAATGCCGGATCAGCGTCAGGGCTACCCGAGTTCGCGCACAAATACCTTGGGGAAGAAGGTGAAGTCTAAGAGGACGTGAGCGGTACGTGGAGACGCAGTCCTTGAAGGAGCTCACCTGAAGCTTGGTAGGCAGCCATTTGTCCTGACTTTATGTGCTTGGGCTAATGTTAAGGATCGGAGGTGTGGTGTAGGACAGTGCTGGTTGCGTTCATCCAGGGCTCACCCGCCGTTATTTATACAGGAGACGCCACATAGTATCTGTGGTACACCACAGTGCGTGGTTGCTTTTGAGGGAATTCCTAACTTCAGCCCCGAGTTGGCCGACGGCGACTGGCGTAAGTTAGGTGCCACGAAATAGGGCACTATCTTCAAGTATATAACGCCACAATGTCTTTCGTGGCGTCACTGAACGGTGGCGACCTATCAGGCGTGGCAATACAACTATTTAGACGGAGCAACGTCTTCAAATGCTGTGGAGACAGAGCTCAGGTGACACTCACAAGTTGTCCAATCTTCACTAGTAATCTCTCGACATGGTCGGGAAATGGAAGTCAACGAGTAGGCGACGAGGGACTTTGATATGATGTCAAAAAAATCACCATAATTCACGTCCCAGTAGCTGCGGAAGTGAAGCGACAGCCTCACTTGGACGCCACTGGAGCGACTGGCTATATGAATCACGGTATCCGGTCATTTGGACCAATATCATAACGCAACGCGACAAGATGAGAATAATCGAGCGATACCCCGCCCCTCGCATTACCCACAAGCGGATCGGCCAGGCATGGGCGCGCAATGAGACCATTCTATGTTCCATGGACATACCTTATTCTCTGAAGCTTCAGCATGCACTCGATAGGTGGCACTAATCAAGGGGCGCCACGCAGCGTTGTAGTATTCGGGGAAAGTATCATTCTTGCTAACGCAGAAGGTCCCGTACTGTGGCGTAATGTACGATGTGGCGTCGCCGATATAAATACCGGCAGATGAGCACTGGAAGACGGAAACAAAAAATCGTCTCCACAACCCTCTTGAGTCCATCGCCCAGTACAAGTCCAGAAATCGGTGCGGAGATGACCGCCTACGAGAAGCAAGGTAAGCGAATAGCAATGGCAGTTACAAGCAACCGGACTCACATTCTCTCAGATCACAGTCGCGCTGATATGGTACGTGCACAAGGCTCTCCTAGTCCTCATGCTGACTCAAGCTCCATAGGTAGTAAAGCCGGTACTCAGTGCGAAGGAAGTCCTCGTCGACAAGAGCGTTGGGGTGGGAACGATTAATTGCACCAATTGCGGCGCATTGATGTCGGCCGACGCGCCTGTGTGTTCCACCTGCGGGAAACAGAACCCTCACGTTTGAAAGGTGGGCGCCCTCATAACTTGTGTTTGATTCGGATTTCCTGAGGCCGCTATATCCAGAGGGAACGTCTAACGGGCTCTACGTACATTCAACCGACCATGCCCTTCTGTAGAATTTTATTCACATTTCAGTCTATGTCTTATCAAAAACTGTCATAAAACTACGATGCAATATTGCCTTCCCTGTCGAGTGCTTACCTGAAAGCCGACCTATAGGTCCAGTCCTGCCAGAGCCAATATGGTCCGCATGAGCCCGAAGCGCAAACGTGTCGTAACTCGTCAGAAGTGAGGCGGGTCTAGCGACGTCGCTTATTCGGGACACCAGTGACGAGCGTGAGTCTAATCTCTGGGGTGAATTGAGTGTCGCGCTGTGAAAAGTCAGCGAGGCAACGCGAGAGCAAGCGAATCTAAGAGAAGAGTCAATCAGGATTCCAGATAGAGAGAAGTGCAGCTAGCTTCCCCAAACCGTCAAATCCCTCTCTCAACTGTTGGAAAATACGATATCAGTTAACCTCCTACATCTTAATTCTCCTGAACCTCGGGGACGGAGATTATGCAAGACACTATATCCTGTGTGAGGCAAAGCGAGATTGGTTCGCAAATTTTCCGAATAAAAACCTACTGGTGAGACGCTGGAAACAGAGACGACAAGAGACGACGGAGACAATTGCAAGAGAGGTACGCACTCTGGAACTTGGTATTCCCCACGATGAGAAGCTGTTTCCCACGTGTCTTTCAGCACGGCTGATCATGATCATGAGATGGCCCCAAATGCTACGCCTGTATTGTCGCTGTTCCTAAGCCTCAACTTGCAACCTAGCACAAGCCTAGGTGATCAAGATGGAAGTCCTTCCTTTACACAGTGAGGCTGTGGATTGATGCTGCCGTTGATTGTCTGCGCCAGCGCCTACCTCCATCAACTTCGTGACAAGTTTAGCACAACGCACAGGGCCGCAGCTTCAGAGTTGAATATGCTCTCCCTAGGCCTGGACCAACTTCTCTCGTCCTTTACTCCCGCGTATCGACTATGGACCTTCTCCCCATAGAGACCTGGCAGACGGTGTTCAGCTATGCTTGTACCGACGGCGGGCTCACTGCTGCATCGCTCGCCATCACTTGCAGATACTTTCGCGATGCGATCAAACCCATCCGATTCCAGAGTGTGAAGCTCGTTGGGATGACTCACCTCCTCTCCTTCTCGCGATTCCTGGAAGAGGAACAAGAGCTCCGCATTCGATACCTCTTTGTCAGCGACAGAGGAGAGTGCAATTCAATTCCTTTGCAGAAGGATCGGGACGCCGCTCTCGTTCGCATCCTCCAGAAGGTCTCACCGACGATTGAGATCCTGTTCCTGGATCTGCAAAGCGGGCGGGACTACCTTCTCTCCCCCGTCTCGCTACCTGCCCTACGGGAACTTGGAGTGTACGGGACATACAGTCCCGACGACGATACCATCACACCTTCCCTGGAGCCCTTCCACAACCTCCGACGCCTGCACTTCAGCGGCACGTACGACCTTCACTCTCACGGCCCACGGGTGGGCAACGCTCTCGTAGACGTGACAAGACTCGCGCCATCACTCACTCATCTGGGGAGTACGAGCGGCAGCATCGTAGCGTTGACCCTAGACAGAGTCGCGCGCGCTCTGGGTATTCTCAACTCGCCGAACGCCCAGCGCGTGCAGATTCCTGCAACCGTCACCCACGTCTACATGAAACCCCACAAATTCCTCCATGCCTACAGGGAGATCTCGACCGTCAGGAATCTCGCTGCGCGGGACGGAAGCGCTGGTGCTGCACCGACCGATGTGTTGGATCCCTACGCAAATTGGTCGGCAGCGGTTCAGGGACGAGAAGGGATGTGGGCGCATGCGGTAGATGTAGCATCCCTGAGGAACAGTCAAAGATTAGACCGATTCAGCCTCATGATATGACCCTAACAACCATGAATACATAGGTATTACTTGCTTTGAAGTAGTCGACTTTCTCACCCCCATCCCTTTCAAATATAGCACATGCTAGATAGCACGTTGATCTTGGTAGCGCACGAGACACACGCACCATTTGATAACGATCATAGGAGGCACTGTATGGTTCATCAGTGAATATTTTGACCGTTTTAGAATATGGTGTATGTGACACGGATGAATCATGAGAAATCTAGGAATTAAGTGATTCCTTAGATCCCGTCAGCATCTTGTGCTGACCTCGGAGAGCAGATCCTGCCATATCAACTATCTCGAAGTAGGCACTGGCGTTGAAATAACTGCTGAACTAGTGAATTACGAGGTGGATGACGTGTTCTGCGGAGACTCGCGGTAGGAAACCTTAGTAGCCAGGTATGAATGCCATCTAACTTTCCGAGCTTCATCAATTGGAGATGCAGTTCGCTCTCTGGAGAAGAACTCCATTACCGGTAGATAGAACGAGAGCGCCTGCAAAGTCTCAGACTATATAGGTATTACTTGCTTTGAAATAGTCGACTTTCTCATCCCAATGGCTTTCAAATATAGCGCATGCTAGATAGCTCGTTAACCTTGGTAACGCACGAGAGACACACACCACTGTATGGTTCATCAGTGAATATTTGACCGTTTTAGAATATAGTGTATCCGACCTGGATCATGAGAAATCTAGTGATTCCTTAGATGCCGTCAGCATCTTTTGCTGACTTCGGAGGCCTTCAAAAGAGGTTAAGCTCATGAAGCATAGGCAGAGACACAGCTGGTAGTAGGAAGGTCCGTACGCCATACAATATAGACATTGGGTGTCAGTAGAGAGTGCCACAGAGTAGAGAGCAACTGCTGGAGAAGTCCAGCTCATTCCCCTGAGAGATCACGAGGCCAGCAAAGACCGTTCCGAGTGTGAGGAGGAAAGTTACTGGGCAAGTCGCACAGAAAGAGGTGCTGTATCTTCTGTCGTTCCCCTGGATTGTGTTATAGGTTCTGGAGGAACAAATATGTCGGTCTGACACCCTCCAGCATGATACACTGATATCTGAATGGGGCCGAAAGTTCTCGAACGCCCTTCGACACCAAGGATAGAGTACCCTGTACATCCACCGTCTGGCCCGGGCGGGGGATCTCAGTCTCTGTCCTCGAGACATAGTCGTACTCGTCGAAACTTGGACCCGACAATCTCCCATCAATGCGATCCGCGAACCTGCTGTGCCTAGGTGCAGCATGAATTCGGCGCTCGAGGATGCATGGCTAGCGCATCCATACCTTGGGGGAGACAATGATTGCACTTGGGCGGATTACCAGTCAAAGGGTACCTACAAAAGCTGCACGTAGGTTCCTTGGGCGCCACATATGTACATGGTTGGGGACCGAAGTGACCTGTGAAGCGTAGCGTCAATCTACAGTCGGGTGAGTATCATTCGCAGAGACGTACCGTTGGGGAGCTGGTGATATCTACGAACGTATGAGCAGCGAGTAGGGATGCTGCTGACGGAGCTCACCTGAAGCTTGGTAGGCTGCCGTTTCGGTTCACGAGAGTGTGTACAAACTTCCGGTTGCCCTGGCCCAGTGCTGCGCGCCGGTATTGATAGGGAGGGACGCCACGTTGGGTAGCGAGCTATGCCACAGTATTGTGCCAATAATGGTAATGAGAAGCATCGTTTTCAGAGCATTACTCTTTCATCCCCCAGGTTGCCGGTGAGATAACAGTGCCAGGAGCTGAAGTCGACGCTGAGCTAATTCACGGTACAAACTTTGGCGTGGCACTGAATGATGACAACATGCAGGACTGGAACATGACTTTGAACGAAGTCCAATCGCTCCGATGGTTCATAGTTGACTGCTGGTCTTTGGGACGGCAAAACACCGCTAAGGTACGCTACGCAGGATCTTGCGGAGTTGCAGCACTCGGACTCTGCCCATTTGCACTGGTCCTCCGCAGGTCGAAGGCTGCTATCTGTACTTCCCAGAAAGTATGCTGTGGCGCAATACATAACAAGGAGTTCACTATATAAATACTGGCAGGTGAGCACCGGAATCCAGCATCAGAGATTGTGCACGCACCCCTCACAATCTAACCACTAACGTAAGCTCCGAAACCAAAGCAGACATGAACGCCTACGATAACCAAGGTAAGCTCACAACGGTGGCACACGTACGCACGTACCGTTCATGTCCGCAGAAAACAGTCACAATATCGCGGTTTCCGCCCACATGGCTCTCTTGATTCGTTTACTGACCCTAGACTGCCTAGGTCATTCCGGACCCCAACGCAAAAGTCCTGATTAATTATACCCGATCCTGTCGCGGCGGTCGTACAGCTGAGGAATTGAGAGCCGAGCATCCCTATCACCGCACTCACCCTCGTCCGCATTTGTATCGTCTTCGTCTCCGTCTCTGTCCTCGTATTCAGAAGCGACGATAGATGCTGATCCGCGTTTCTACAGCAGCTCCGAGGCATTGTCCCTCTGGCAGAGGAGGAACTAACGGTCAACGAAGTGTCAATACAGAGGACACGAACCCCGAACTGTACCCGCATACTGGACCTGATTACGGCGGGGAAATCGGTGAAAGACATATTCCAGCTGTTTGCAAAACGATAGAGCCAGTTGAGTATTTTTGTGCGTGGGGCGCCGCCCCAAGTCTAACCAAAGCCGGTAAACGGTGCACCACTACTAACCAACAGGTTCGAAAGGGCAGTTGACCGCCTTCCGACGCTCTCTGTACCGTTTCCGGTGATTTTGCGGTTGTTTGTCCTTGGAGTGGCCTGTATGAGTGAAAATCCGGACTGGCTCTATCGTTTTGCAAACAGCTGTCACAGCTTGATGAGTCGATCATCGGCCCCAGACTGTGCATAGGCTTTGGCCACGCCGTCGACTGCAGATCAAGAGAACAGTACACGTCGACCGTACAGACTTCGGCAAGTTTTCTAATGTCCGAGCATCCAATCACCGATACAAATTGTATACTCGAGTAGGGAGGCCGAGGGAGGCAGCTTCAAAGTAAATCATGCAATGTACGGTAGCGGCTAAGTCCAAAAGCAAGCCACGAACCGAGTCGTCGCTCGCAGCTCGTCGATCACATCATGATACAGTGCTATCCTGCGGCCCCTCCGCTCCCCGTGGACAGTGTTCTCTGTGGTTACTATTGCCTCTTCGTCATTACCCAAGGGCGTACCGTGAAACCTACAGTCGTGGCAACACCCGTGGAACGTGGAATGATAGGCATTGATATGTAGTGGAACCCGACAACGCTGCTTTGGCTTGGCATCGGTGGCGGCGACACGAAATGGTTGCGCAGCTATCACCGCCTCTCTTTGCAGCATTCTGCAAGCCGCTGACATTATCATGGCGCCCATCGACCTGGGGTACGCCGTTTGCCTTGCCTACCTCCCAATCGCACCAATTCCTGCACAGATGGTATGCTCTGCCTTCCCCAAGTCAGGTGCTATGCTTCCTCGATCCCGCCTTCGAGTGGGGCCTCGCTCCGCGTTCCGAGACGCACGTCCCGCCCACCATCATGTCGCGCGACTACAGTACGCTGTGGTCAGCTTCGGCCGCGAAGAGCAGCGCGCTGATGCGCTGCTGCAAGGACTGGGGAATTACTAGTGAAGTGTGGCACCGGCGGTTTGATTAGGGACTCTAAGGTGACTTATCGCGTGTCAAGGCCTTTGCGCAGTATGTGCTGACGAAGACGAAGTGAGTCCTTGGATTGTGTTGATTTTTGTGATGCGATGTTGGTAGAAATCGTATCATTATTTTCGTGTCTACTGATTTGCTCGCCACATATCATCCTTCGGGCAAGCACTACTCGTGCCAAATCATGGCTATTCACCACCACGCTTATGTTGCATATCATATATCCGGGAATTGGCGCGAGAGGGGGGGAATATGTAGGTAAAGACGATCCAACATCCTCGCCTTCGCTCTAACCGCACTACCGGGCCTGACGCCTTCCTTGTTCTCTGCCCGGATTAATACTCGCGGGTTTTTGCGCGGGTCCGGGACCTTGAATCATCGGTGCGACTTATGGAATCTATAGACGGCATGTCGGGAATCGTCAAGGGTATCTGACTCCCTCGTTTCCCAACCGCTGATGATAACTTATGTTCTAGTACTTCTACGCCGACGTGTCCGAGTCGCCGTCCTTTAGGCACACACACGGTAAAATCTACTCTCGGTTCCGAGGATGACTATGTTTCCATGTTGGATCTGGCCCTAAGAGGGGTAATTCCGGGTATTTTGGGGCAAAGACAGACGTCGCCGTGCAATCGGTATGCTACTATGCGGGTATCTCACACACAAAGACTGAGTTCCTAGATAATTTCTTCGGAATACAAGCTTGGGCGATCATCTTCGAACACCGTCCCGGTCATGCGCTGTCTCTTCTTTCACAGCTTTTGGGTTGACTAAGGTTAATGTTGTGAACAATCTCTCACTGGTCGCGCAGAATGACTCGAGTACCGTGGACAGGACTGCACTAGACGGTCTTCCTCACTGCGCGTGCCTTCAGCATTGCCCATTTTCTCTGTCTTCCATTTCATCGTCTATGCCAGCTGAGTGCCCCCCAAATACGCAGCCATCGAGCTGGTCCTTTTCACAGGTTGCTTGTCTCTAATAAAAGGCTGCTCGAGTCCCGGTCGATACCTCGTCTGAACTCTGCCCAAGCTCGTGTGCGTCTTTAATCCGTAGTCTGTCCGGCTCCTCATTTAAACAGCGAAAAGCTACAGATTCACGCACTCTGCACCCCCTTCGGCCTGTTCTCCAATCGAATCGCAAGTTATATTATTGCTTCTTGAGCATTACACTTATGGTTGTTACTCAGAACGTCTGCACCTGGATCCGCATCTCTCTTCTATCCAGAGTGAGTTATGTATATATAGTATATAGATGTCCGTCAGAGACCGTCACTCACATTCAAGTCGTGACAGATGCCGGATCTTGGGAAGGAGATTTCTCTAGCACCAAGCTCACTTTACGTGTGCCTTACCCAACTCATGGGTCCAGGATTCCATTGGTCTCTCTATATAACCGATGCGAGCGGAGTCGCCACACGCTACCACTGGCGGGAGGTACCTGGTAGACGGGGCGCTGACGATCCCATCGAAGAATTCGCATACGGTATCATCAAACCAGTCACTGAGATCACCAGAGGTAACAACTTCAACCTCGCGTTCATCAAGATATCCGCCTATGTTCCACATGAAGGGATGCAACCTGAATACTTTGTTGCGCTCTTCAAGGACGTCTTTACGACCAGCTACTCGTCTGTCAGGGAAAATCGGCAGCACCAGATTAGCTGTCGTACGTGGCTGATGGCTGCATTGCAAAGGATGCGCGTAGCAGGCCACCTCACCCTTGATAGTGCCGCTGTAGCCGGCCTGGAGGCGAGCATAAAGGAGATTGGGAACGCAGTCGAGGAAAGGGTTAGCACGGGGATCGTTGAGTCGGAATTTGCTTACTTGTAGCTCGCACTCAGAGGCCGTAAGTATAGGGAAAGATAATCCTTATGTTCTCGTCGTTGTTATTGTTTGTTCCCGCTACTGTAGGTAGTGGGTCTTGGACCCCCCGGCCGTTCGCAGGTTTCCTGCGACCGTTTCAAGATCTACGCGATTTATTCCCGCTACCGTAGGTAGTGGGTCTTGGACCCCCCGGCCGTTCGCAGGTTTCCTGCGATCGTTTCAAGATCTACGCGATTTATTTGACACTATTTGGCGCTTAACCGTATATGGTTCAAAGGTGGGGTCCCTAAAGGACCCCGATAGTTATGCCACGTGTCATTTCTCTTCCCCTTTATAGCCCAGGTGGCGGATGATTGTCAGACAGAACTGACCTTGCTTGGGGCCTTGGACCTTGCGGTCTCAAGGTGAAATCAGAATACTCCGATGTCAGTTGTTTTTCATATGTAACTTGTATTCTCGAAACCTGAGGGAGGGATACGGTAGCGGGCAGAGCCCGCTACTGTATACATAGATAAGATTTGGTAGCAAGCTGAAAACTTGACATCCTGAGCAGCATCATATACTAATATATTTGCGAAAGCAGTTGTGTTCCAGCCATGATTTCCGACTGAGCATTCACCTCAACGATTTGAAGAGATGTCCACTCACTCCTCCCTCAGGTTCTGAGTATACAAGTCATTTATGTAAAACAGCTGACATTGAAGTATGCTGCTTTCACCTGGAGACCGCATCTCCAACGCCCCAAGCTAGGTCATGTCTGTTCTCTTGAGTCCCTTGACCAGCATCAGCCACCTTGGCTAAAGACGGAAAGAGAGATGCCACGTGGTTTTACAATCGGGGTCCTTTGAGGACCCCATCTTTGATTGGTCCAAAGCCGTGTGCCGGTCCTGCCGTCCGCCATATACGGTTAAGAGCCAAATAGTGTCAAATAGATCGCGTAGATCTTGAAACGATCGCAGGAAACCTGCGAACGGCCGGGGGGTCCAAGACCCACTACCTACGGTAGCGGGAATTTGACACTACGTACGGCAAGGACCAATCAAAGGTGGGGTCCTTAATGGACCCCGATAGTCATGCCACGTGTCATTTCTCTTCCCCTTTATAGCCAAGGTGGCGGATGATTGTCAAGGGACTCAGAGACAGAACTGACCTTGCTTGGGCCTTGGACCTTGCAGTCTCAAGGTGCAATCAGAATACTCCGATGTCAGTTGTTTTGCATATGTAACTTGCATTCTCAAAACCTGAGGGAGGGATGAGTGGACATCTCTCAGGACCCCAGGCCATTGAGTTGAATGCTCAGTCAGAAATAATTGCTGGAACACAGCTGCTTTTGCAAAATAGATATATATGACGCTGCTCAGGATGTAAAGTGTTCAGCTTGCTACCAAATATCATCTATATCTACTGTTGGATTTCGGGAGTCGGGATCGAGCTTGCGAGCTCGCGCCGTGTTGCGCGTGGTCAGGGGGGACCGCCGCAGGCGGGCCCGACTGATAAGGTGATAAGAAAATTCATATATATTCGTTGTATCTACTCGATGTCCTGTACGCGATTGCCCTTCGGGCAACCGACCGCCTGGGGCAAACGTGCTCGTCTTCCGTTTGCTAGGATTATTTCAACATCTACGGTAGCGGGCTCTGCCGTGCTCGCACGGCCCTACCGCCTTATACTTATAAATGGGAAATGATACGTATGTGAGAGTAGGCGACTCTTCATGCACACGTGCGGAAGCGACCGGCCCGGGGCCGAGCCCTCGGGCCGGCAAATCGCTTGCTCGCGCGTAACGGTGTCACGCAGGGTCGTGTCAAGTCGCGTCTTCAGCTCGTACGGTCTTCAGTATTATGCTGTTGCCTCATAATGTCAGCTATATCTCTGCCATTTGGACCAGGCTTTTGGTGTGCCTACCTCTCATCTCATACAATCGTATTTTGATGCAGGATCGTAGGAATTTGGCCGGTCCTTCCAAAGTCTGCTGATCCTCAGCCTTACGTGCCCTCTCAGTGGTACACACAACATACGAACTTTTCGGTTCAACATACCGTGGATTGTGAAAATTACGGAGCGTACGACCAGTACGGAGGCACACGCTCTACGTTACCTCCACTCGACAGGCATCGATATTCCGATACCTCGCCTCGTCTTCTCCTGCGTTCACCGCGGCACCACATACACTGTCATGACCCGTATTCCGGGCACGCGCATGTGGGACACAAAGCTGCCAGTCGACGCCGTAGAGGCTATCGCCGACGAGGTCTCGGTCGTTCTCAGTAAGCTGCAGACATTACGACAGTCACCCGCTGAAGCAGGGAAAGTCAAAATGAGTGCCTCCGGGCACGACCTTCCCGACGCCACCCACTTCTTTGAGGCGAGAACTGGGCCTTACTCTTCCGTCCTTGAATTGGTCGTTCATAGTGGCAGCTATCGTGACGAAGAGGAGATGCGAAGTGACCTCGACCCCGCCATAATTGAAGTAATGACAGCAGACCCTATCAGATACGTCCACCCTGACCTGCGTACGTACAATATTATGGTACATGACGGCCATCTCTCTGGAATTATCGACTGGGAAGACTCTGGCTGGTATCCGTCCTCATGGCAGGTTCACACGATGCGATTTGCACGTAGTGGTTGCAATGGACCGTGGCTGCAGTACTGGCGTAGGTACCGATTCTCCGAGGAGGCGGAAGCTGCCTACGAAGCGGCAAAGACATTTATGATAAAATCACCTGTATAGTTGTTGTGAGTGCGATTACTATAGTCCGATTTGCACGCATTATGAACACTGTCATAGGAAGCCTTCAGGGCATGCACAGCGTAATAAGACTATGCGACGACCTTACATGTACTGCCTGTATTGTTGCTGTGCCACGGTGCAACGTTCGAGCACCGTCGGACTCGGACCGTGATTGCGAGTCGGAGCTCGTACTCCCATATAGTGAGTTGTAAACGCGGTCAGACTTTCCCTCCAACTTGAGCTTGAACCCGTCCACGGTCAGGATATGTATGGTGCGTACTCTATTTTCGCCATTGCGTTGGGTGATAAGCAAATTGTCTGGGGGAAAAGGTAGAACTCTCGGATGATTTTTCGGCTCGCACTAGTACTGTGCAGACGATATTGGTACTTGATACGTGCCATGGCCTGCGCCTATCAGCATTAACTTCCCGACGAATTTTGTATAAGGTGCAGGCCGCAGCTTAGGATCTTCATATGCACAGCTAAGGCGAGGTATCCTCAACCCTCACGATATCGACTATGGATCTCCTCCCCGTCGAGACCTAGCAGACCGTTCTCCGCTACGCTTGTATCGACGGCTGGATCGCTCGCGATCACGTGAGAATACTTCCGCGATACGGTCGGACCCATCCTCCGGTTCCAGTTCGTGAAGCTCTCGAGGATGACTCAACTCCTTTTCTTTCTGCGATTCCTGGAAACAGAGACAGAGGTCCGTGACAGATACCTCTTTGTAAGCGACAGAGGAGAATGCCATTTTCTCGATTTGCAGAAAGAAAGGGATATTGCTCTGGTGCGCATGCTTCAAGCGACCACGACCACGTTGCGATCCTGTTCCTGGATCTTTCAAACAGACGGGACTACCCCCTCTCCGTCTCCCTTCCTGCGTTGCGGGAACTTGGAATGTAGTACAATCCGGACGGTGATACCATCATATCTACCCTGAAACCCTTCCACAACCTTCGGCGTCTGAACTTCAGCGACACGCCCCATATCCACTCCCACGGCCCACAGGTGGGCAACGCTTTCGTAGACGTGACAAGAAAGTTGAAGACTAGCGCCATCACCCACTCATCTGGGGATTACGAGCGGCAGCATCGTAGCGTTGACCCTAGACAGAATCGCGCGCGCTCTGGGTATTCTCAACTCGCCGGACGCCCAGCGCGTACAGATTCCTGCAACCGTCACCCACGTCTACATGAAACCCCACAAATTCCGCCATGTGTACAGGGAGATCTCAACCGTCAGGAATCTCGCTGCGCGGGACGGAAGCGCTGGTGCTGCACCGACCGATGTGTTGGATCCCTACGCGAATTGGTCGGCAGCGGTTCAGGGACGAGAAGGGATGTGGGCGCATGCGGTAGATGTAGCAACCCTGAGGAACAGTCAAAGATTAGACCGATTCAGCCTCATGATATGACCCTAACAACCATGAATACATAGGTATTACTTGCTTTGAAGTAGTCGACTTTCTCATCCCCCTCCCTTTCAAATATAGCGCATGCTAGATAGCTCGTTAACCTTGGTAAGGCACGAGACACACACACCACTTGACAACGGTCATAGGAGCCACCACTGTATGGTTCATCAGTGAATATTTTGACCGTTTTAGAATATGGTGTATGTGACACGGATGAATCATGAGAAATCTAGGAATTAAGTGATTCCTTAGATCCCGTCAGCATCTTGTGCTGACCTCGGAGAGCAGATCCTGCCATATCAACTATCTCGAAGTAGGCACTGGCGTTGAAATAACTGCTGAACTAGTGAATTACGTGGTGGGTGACGTGTTCTGCGGAGACTCGCGGTAGGAAACCCTAGTAGCCAGGTATGAATGCCATCCAACTTGCCGAGCTTCATCAATTGGAGATGCAGTTCGCTCTCTGGAGGAGAACATCATTACCGGCAGATAGAACGAGAGCACCTGTAGAGTCTCAGACTATGTTAAAGGATTTTCGAGGATCCACCGTCAAACTAGCGAAGGGTTACTGGAAAAGTTGCACGCACTTTTCGTGGTTCACCAAGATTACTCTCCAAGCGGTGAAGGGATAGGGAATCTCATGTGTTATTCTGGGCTCCAAAGTCATTTACATTTCCAGGTCCCCATAACAGGCTTGTACTGTGATTCTTGCCTAATGCCCTCCACTCGCATGCTTGGCCGACATCTCCGACGGCGAATGGCCTCATCTGGCAGACCTGCGAGGTAGCTGAAAGCGACTCTAGCGATAAAGCCACAGGAGATAACGAGTATCCTTGGGAGTGAGGGGGATGGACCTGGCGAGAGGAATGCTTTGAGATCAAAGGGCAGATCCCTTCTGATGAGGTTGTCGGGCAGCTGGCATCTCTGATCTTGAGTACCGGAGGTCAGAAGATCTAAAAAGACCCTTGAGTAGATCGCCCATCGCCGGTTTTCTAAGCCTCCTTTAAAATCTCATCCAGCTCAGTTCTCAATACGGACCACTCCGGGAGCCCAAAGTATCCAGGAAGGTCCGCCCATATCTGTGCCCTCGCCCGATCAAATCCAGTACTGAAAGCCTTCTGGCACGCTGCGCACATGCCAGGAACAAGGGAAGGGTATTCCTTCCTCAGAGGATCGAACCAGTCGTATCCAAAGGCCATCTCCCAGACGTCTTCCCGGTACAACCAGCGCAGCCGGGCGGAGTCGCAAGGGATATGTCTACTCAGGACGAACCCCGGGCCGCTGGATACGAGCTGGCGCTCGGAGAAGATCTTCGAGCGCCAGGCTTCGAGGATACGTTCGCGGCCGAGAATGCATGTCTCCACGTCGTCTGCAGAGAGGGAGAGGCCGTCCATGATAGTTTCAAGGGAATTGGAGCAGCAAGCTAGCATAGCTGCGGGGATGAGGGCGCGGATGTCGGTGTCACGCGCTAGTCGGAGGATCTCGGGTGCTCTTTCGAGTAGGAATGGAGTGCGTAGAGATATGCTGGACCGATTGTCCCATGATTGAAGAACAGTTGGGTACGCGAGCGATAGTTGGGCGACAATGTCCTGCCGGAAGTACTTCACTTGGTATTTCGTGCTGAGGCGAAGCACGGATACTGTCGCGTCAAAGTCGTTTCGCACTTTCTTCTCATAATGTCTAGGTAACGAGGGTATGAGTGTAGATCTCCTTCATGAAGGCCTCGCACTGACCCTGGGATAAACAGTGCTTTCAAGAAATGCTGGAGCTCGTCCGGCTGGTCTTGCAATCGATACACTGCTGTAGACGAGGGCACATGGGTAGCGCGAGAATTGCGAGGAAATGAACTTGCAAACACCGGTGAATTGAGGGCCAAGGCTCCGCGGTACACCCGGAATCGGGTGGAACCTGCTTGTAGGATTATGTTTCCGTCATCGAACCACGGCTCGCCGCGTTCATACGATCCTTGAATGGTGCTCGCTGTAGACGACATCTTGCTTCCAAGACAACGATGCTGGTTCGGGTCGAAAATGTGAGACTTTCGATATCGATCGGGCGATTGTCTCCGTCTCCTTGGATAGAACACTCGCCAATGCGCCAACGTCCTGATTATATGCCCTTGTATCTGGTGACTGCGTTCTTGAATTCGTTCTACGGCATCGCTAGCAAACTGGACAGGAAGATCAGCGGTGAGCCTAATTTCGGGGGAACGTTAGTAGAACACCGTGGTCATTGGACAATTAAGCAGGATTTGTTCGAAGTTGAACCGGACCTGAGGCCTGAGGACGCACTCTTGTTCGTATTTCAATGCTTAAAGATTCACCGTTAGCTATTTTGCATGCACCCTAGAAATCATATGTGACTCTGCTCAGGCCGTGCACTCAAAATTCATAACTCGAATTACAATCTATTTAAGTACTAGAACTTGTGAAGTGCCATCTGGCGCCGGCAACTTACCCCTCCTTTGTTCAAGAAATTGACCTTGAGAACTTGCACTAAGTTCAAGATGTTGTGGCTGCTACACGAGGTCAACAAATCATCGTAAGGACAGTGTTTCTACCATGTAAGATAATGCTAGGGATATTGTTAGTAATATATATAGGGGACCCAAGTTTTCCTCGGTTCTCTTTCAGTCAAGCTTCATCTAGGGCCAGGTAGAATGTCCTGTGCTGTTGTAGTCTAAGAGATACTTATCCCCTCTCCAAGAATGCCTAATGGTGTGTATCTGTTGCCTGGACATCTGGCATCCATCTCACATCATAGTTTTATTTTACAGTCTGTTGGGCCTCATGATCATAAGCCATGGAATAACATGGATTTTCTTGATTCTACTTATTTGTAAATTGTCCATCACAGATTTATGTATGGCATGGAGACCCAGAAAATTAGAATGATTGAATACACATGTTAGATGGAGTGCACATACACGCAAATCCTTCTCAAGCCAACACTCAAAATTTTGAGGTACAAGGATCTATGTTTAATACTATGCTCTCCCTATGCCTCTAAGTTTTACCTCATAATAGGCCTTCACCTGTACCTTGTGGCATCCACAAACCAACACTAATTACATAGTTGAGAGGGACTTGAATGTGAACATTGAGATGCATGCCCTTGTTCAGTAGTGGTGCCACTAGAGCCAAACATAGCACGCCGGAGTTTGCCGGTGCAACGAAAAGTGCGACGCAATTCCAGGGTGCCAGAACCCCTCCTAAACACGGCGGGCAAAAGGGATGTCCAATTTCGAAGTGGCGTAATAGTGTCCAATTTCGAAGTGGCGTAATAGTGTCCAATTTCTAAGCGCGCCCGGATTACTCCGATGGCATGTCACGTTACTGCTCCCAGCCCTCCATATATGGTAATGCGGGATATGCAACTTCATGTGTTGTTATAACCTTGGCATAACGAGCGGACTGCCATTGACAGATATGAGACACATATACCTGCTGAATCTGAACCTCCGAGGTGCCATTTTAGTTAGGTGCACAAAAACTCTTGTTGACTCTCAAAAGCTCTACCCGTGTAGTACTAGTGTGCCCATGAAGCTTCTGGGATGACCAGATGGCAGCCCATATGCATGGAATACCCCTGGTACATACAGTACCAGATACACTACTATCCTGTCCCAGTAACTGGGGCAGGGTATTGCTTTCGCATGGAACCAAGGAATGCACCAGGATGCAATGCTTAGCCCATAGTACATCTTCTCAATCACCTAAGGCACTCTGACATTGTTGAGGCATTATTGCTCCATTGCATGGTCCATTCAACTCTTGAATATATCATATTATTACCCTTGTAATACCTAGAGCTAAGGTTGGGCGCGGGTGATACCGCGGCTCTGCCATGGTCACCCGACCCGTACCCGCCTGTACTGCACCCGCAGCGGGTAAGGGTACAAAACCCGCCCGAGAGACCGCGGGTCGCTGGGTGCCCTTGGCCGATGCCCGAGGTAGGGCTTTGCAGGTTCAAGGCACCCTATTGAAGGTGCTTTCGGGCCAGTTTCTTTGTACACCTGGATCTGACAGTGCCGTACCTGACTCCAGTATCACCGGGAACCAACTTCCCGTGTTTTTGCTGCATTTACCCTTCAAAAATCACAAATTTCGTATAAATATTGTACCCTCCACCAGACCCGCGGGACCCGAGACCTGTTGGGACGGTTTCACGGTAGCGCGCGGTTCGAGGGATTTCAGACCCGAGCCCGCACCCGAGCAACCCGCGGGCCCAATACCGCGGTGGTACCCGCCACCCACGCCCATCCTTACCTAGAGCCTACTGTCTGTTCACCTTTGCTCTTCAGTATGTTGTTGAACTAGGCACTGACTTAGCTGCCAGGTTCTACAACGTACCAGAATGTACCGGAACTCTCTGGAACATTCTGGTATATTCCACTATTGTACAAGGGCACGGAGCTCATGTGGGTCAGTGACATCATAGGTGGAGCTCAGTAGGATTAGGGATATTCCACATAGCTTAGTCAGCCTATGGGCCACAGTGTATATAAACCCTGCAGCTCTGCTGCCTAATGACAAGGGTTGTGAATATGAGCTTCACTAGTAGCTACAGCATCCAACCAATACAGGTGAGTTGTGTAGGGCGCACTGTGTGTGCTGCTGCCTCCATAACTCTTCATCATATGTATCAGCTGTATCACTACAGGCTTCCGTGGCGGAACAGAGACAGAGGCGTGATGTGATGTTGTGTCGGAGTTTTGGACAGCCATCAAATTGGACATCTGTAGGGGTGCTCAAAAATTGATTGTTCGCGTTCGATCGTTGTGCAGCAATCCCAGAATGGGCGGTACAATTCGTCAAAGACGAACGAACGACCGAAATTTTCAATGCACGCTGATCGTTCGCGTTCGGTCGCGCGTAGTATTGGATCGGAGTTTAAATAAACCATTAGCTCGAGATACGATACGAAGTTCCACGGTCAGCGGAGTTCGAACTGCGACAGCAATCGCAGCAAAGTCGTAGTTCGTTGAGTTCGTCCTCTGTGAGCGACGGATTTGGCGGTCAGTCCACTTTAGGATTGCTGCACAATGATCGAACGCGAACGATCAATTTTTGAGCACCCCCTGTATGTCCAATTCGGCGGCCCCTCGAAATTGGACATGCCTTTTGCCCGCCGTGAAAGGAGGGGCACCTCGCGAGAGGCACGAGTTGACTCGGGAACTCCCGAGCGGAGCATGGACGTGTAGCCGACTGGATCACCAGCCCCAACTCATAGCGCAAGCCTCCGTATCCAGTGGTATGTATGAGTATTCGTTTTCACTTCTACTACTGATATCTGTCGTAAGGGGAAGCACCGCGGGTTTGAGCGCCTCTGTACTCTTTGTCGCGGTCAACATCGCTAACCACTCTCGTGGTCGCGTTGTCTAGATCTGGATATGATGCTCGATTGTGCAGCCGAATTATGGCAAGATATATTTGAGCGCGCATGCACGGACGGTGGAACGACAGGCTGCTCCCTTGCACTGGTCTCTAAATCCGTCCATCAAGCATCCGCGCCGTTCAGATATTACTCTGTCATGCTTGAGGGCACCAACCAGTTATCCGCCTTTGTTCGCGTGTTGGAAAATAGTGACAGGGCCCCAAACGTGCGGCACCTGTTTGTGTGCGATATCCATTCGATGCATTCTCCTCCTACCGATTCTTCTCCAATCATGTCTGATATCGGGGTCATGCGTCTGTCCCAGCTACTATCGGCGGTATCCTATTCCCTGGAGACGCTCACACTTAACCATTACGGAGTGAGACGTTTCACTCTTCCGTCCATCTTACTCCCGATGCTGAAAGAGCTGAACATCCATGGCGACCACTTCGGCTACATGGACGAGGAGATCGCCGTATTCGCCAAGCTCACCAGACTGAATTTCGAAGGGTGGATGCTCTGTACCTTGCCGAGTGCCGAGATAGCTTTTAGGTTCCTCCACACTTTCTCAACTAACGCGCCCTTGCTGGCGGATCTTGTGGCCTCTTCCAGCTCCGTTTTTGCTTGGTGGACACACGCTTTGCCCTCGTTGGTGTCTGATCCTTCTGCTCCTTCCAGCACGGCTGAACTATTTCCTATGCTTCGGAGCTTCTTCGTCCAGCTGGAACCACTGACCCCTTTGAAGGGTCTAGCGGACGAAGATCTCGAGCTTTATCGGAAGCATGAGAGAGCTCGGGCTGCACAGAGTTTGCCCACTGAACGGCACGCCATCAAATTTGGTATCCTTGATCCTCCACCCCATGGTACTGGCAGATATCGACAAGGGAAGATGCACTGGCTTGCTGGATTGGCATAATAGAGGCTGTTACAGTGAAAACGTCCTCGGAACATGCTTAGGAAGTTTGGGCGCGAGGTCAGCATAGTGATCAAGCGGCCATGTATGAAGGTCAGGAACATTTATGCCGCGCCGTTGCAGGGAGTGCGGGGCATGTGATGGAGGGGCTGCCTGGTGCCGCAAGGACCTCCCGTTAAATCGAGAGCGGGCTCGACTGGACTTAGACTTGGCGCTATCTTTGATGTTTACTGCAAAGTGCTAGCATTGAGGGTGTCCTGTGCTCGGTACTCAGTTCTGGAGAAGCGTCATTACTGCTGAGGTTTTTGGCCTCGGCTATCACAGTAGGATTTTGGAACATATCGCCTGTATCCGGTTTCTTTGTCCGTGATCTGACAATTCTTGATAGACTATGAGTCGCCGAGCAGATGCGCCGGCGGACGGGGTCCACACACCGCTACAGGGTCTGAAGGCGTTTTGAATTGCGACGCTCATCGGTTCATGGTGATTTGCTGCGGAACGGACGAAGTGTACTTCAAAATGAGTGCGGTCACGAGTTGCTTCTGTCGTCTTGCAGCGAGTTCATCTCGCTCACTTGTCGTTGAAATCATTTTGCCTCTGATCGCTCCTTACACAGACTTGGAAATGCGCGAACTACAAACGTCAGACCCTCCTTTACTCCCTGAGATCGCCGTCCGCCTACATTGGCGCCCCGACCCCGACGCTTCTTCTTCATCATCCCTCATCCTCACTCTTGTAACCAGAGCGCTCACAGGACCATTGTCGGAGAACCTGAATCGTTCTCGTGACCGAGGCTGAGCGTAGGCTGCACGCAGTGTACGAGAAGCGCGGGTTCGCGGCATGGACGAATGAGGCGCTGAGGGAGATCAAGGTAGCACGGGTGGAGCGGGTGAAGTGCTGATCGGAGGTAAGGTAGACGAGCTGGGAAGGGAGGGTGCATTCTTGAATCGAATCCATGGCGTTATCGGATGAGTACCACGACATGCCTGTCTCCGATGTGTGGCAGGCGTGCATCTCGAGACGGTTATGCCATGTTATTATCATGCGCGATCGCCGTCCTGCAATGAATCTCACTATATGCTAGTCGAGGATCTCTAAACTCTCCATACAGTTTGTCCGTCCAAATCTCGGAGATAGACGACTGGGCTGGCTCTTCATATGGTCTCGTGAGCATCCCTGACACCGTGTTTAGGTCCTACTCTTACTCGCCACGACATACAGACCTTATGGTCCTGCTCAACAAGGGCCTTTTAAAAGCCATCTTCCAATCACAGGCCCTCTAGCTTAAGACCCTATATAAGTCGGTCTTCTCTATCTCGTATGTCGTCTCTCCCTCCATCGCTTCCTTTCTGTCCTGTCCTCCAAGTCCTGATTGGATCTTCACAAAACACTCCGTCATTTGGGGGTCGCTTATCTAGTCCAATTGACTTTCCAGGTGAGCATTGCACAAGCTGCCCTTGCGGGTTATTTTTAACACTCAGTAAAATCAGACAAAGACGAAATGGCGACGAGCAAGGACGGAACGAAACCGAAGGTTCTCCTCATCGGTTTCCTCGACACGAAAGAGGCGGAGTACGCCTTCGTCAAAGATCTACTTGAGGCGAAGGGATGTGAGGTAGCTATCATCGACACATCTATCCAGGTGTGTTTCTCCATAATCGCATTATTGTGCGTCACGTACGTCTAAACCTGTATCCCACCGATCTATGCGCCATCCCAGTTGGAGACCGCCCTGACCAAGTACGCGTGTTATCCCCCCTCCTCGGTCTGCTCCGTCGCCCGCACCACCCTCCCGCATATCCGGTCTATTCCGCGTGCCGAGGCCCTCAAGCTCATGACCATCGGCGCCACCCAAATTGCTCTCTCCTATGGTGAGCAAGTTCACGGTGTGCTAGGTATGGGCGGAAGTACGACGACCGCGCTCACGTGCTCTGTGATGCGCGCGCTACGCGTCGGGCTGCCGAAACTCTGCGTGAGCACGATGGCGGGCGGAGACGTGCGGAATTATGTGGGCGACAGTGATATCTGTATGATGCCTTCTATCGGTGTGTCGCACCCATCCCCATCCCCCTCCCTTGTGTACTTACCGCTCGAAAGCGGACATCTCGGGCTCCTTGAACGTCATCTCCGCACGCATTCTCACCAACGCAGCATCCGCGCTCGCGGGGATGGCGCACACCTACAAGGACACAGCTTGCCTCTCGCTAACTTCAGGGGATGCGAGACACAGGGTGGCGGTCACGATGTTCGGGCTAACGACTCCGGGAGTGACCGCCGCCTGCGCGCGCCTGCGGGCCTTCACAGACGAGTCCGGCCGGCGCCTCTACGAGCCCGTCGTGTTCCACTGCACGGGCACTGGTGGGCGGACGATGGAGCGGCTCGTCGAGGAGAAGGTGAGTGTCTACTGTAGGGGGCGGTCATTCAGAGATGGGCTGATCCTGGATACCCTATCTACGCAGTGGTTCCATGCGGTACTGGACCTGACGACGACGGAACTTGCAGACGAGCAGTGTGGTGGGACCCTCTCGGCTGGGCCCACGCGCCTCACCGCACCTGGGAAGGCGGGCATTCCGCACGTCGTTTCCCTCGGCGCACTGGACGTTGTACGCTCGCCTCTCCTTCCCATCTCTCCAAATTACAAACTCGTCTTACCTGCACTCTGACTCAGTGCGACTTCGGCCCGCGCTCGACAGTCCCGGAGAAGTACACCCAGCGCACGCTGCACGAGCACAACGCCTCCATCACCGTCCTGCGCACCTCCGCGGAGGAGTGCGCCGCCATCGGGCGTACGATGGCTCAGCGCTTATCTTTCGGCCACAGTCCTTTAGCGGTAGTCATACCGAAGAAGGGGTGGTCCGGGATCGACGTCGCGGGCGGACCGTTCTGGGACGAGGACGCAGATGAGGCTCTTGTGAAGGAGCTGAAGAAGGGGCTGTGGCTGGCGAATGCGGAGGGAGGGAGGGAGGTGGAAGTGGTTGAGGTGGATGCGCATGTGAATGATAAAGAGACGGCGTGGGTGATGGCGGATAAGCTGCATGAGTTGGTGGGGATGTGGGAGGGGAGCCTGAGTGGTGGCCGTGGTTAGGATTCTGCACGGTTATCTCCTACACGGCTATTGCACGGCCTGCGGGCTGAATAGCAGCCACCAGGGATTTGTACCATGTCCTCGAGAAAGTGTTCTTCCGCATACCGCAGGGTTGTTATGAATACACGATAATTGTCCAATGCATGTGGTGTCGCTCCTGCACGTATCCGTCAGCGAGTGTCTGAAATGGCCATGATACTGACAGCAAAGATTGGCCAGTGATAATTGGTTTGCATGGAAGGATAGAGAAACTCCATGGTGCTGGGTTTGGCACACTGATACGCCATATACTCAGGTTGGTGTGCAATACCTCCGGGAAATATTAATCAAGGATCTTCGACTCCTGTAAGAGAAATTAAGAAAGAGCGTTGACTATCGCTAGCCACCAGCACTTGTAAAAAAACAGGTTCAGCGCCTTATGTCGATCCCAGATTTTCTTGATCACGCTGGTATACTCATCCACTCAATTTCACTGGTATATTGAGGACGGTCATCGATGAATGCAAGAAGACTGGGTGTAGAACGAGGAGCTTGCACTGTTACTGTGTCAGGATTGTGGCAAAAAAAAAGTCTGACGTGGGAATATTCAATAACGCGGTATATTTCATGATCAAGCGCCAACAAGTTGACCGAAACACTACTAGTAGTACTGCGGAAGTGAGGTACGATATGACTTCTCAACTGTACTTCGTCAGAACTTTGGTCGACATGCCGGTAGAACTAATGCAAGTCGTATTCTCGTACGCTTGCGCACATGGCAGTAGAACAGGGTGTTCTGTGCCCTTCAAGTTGGTCTCCAAGTTCATCCGCGAAGCAGCGGCACCGATCTGATCATGATACCAGAGTGTTCTCCTGGAGGGTATCACACACTCTCCCTCGCTACTGATGCTCGTAGTCCACTGGCATAATGGAACTCGGTCATTTCTTCTCTCCCCTGTCTACTTGCCGGTGCTGAAGGATTTGAGCATTTACGATGGGTCACATCCCCCCCGCCCCCCACCCCACACGCGGCGTTGCCAAATATCTCCAGGCTACGCTGTGAAGAGGGTAGAGAGTTATCTTCGACTTGGAGGAGGTGTCCAGGAATCGTCTGTACGAGATGTCCCGCCCTCACACGCTTGTTACTTTCCTCCGGATCCAATCAGAGATCAAGTGGAGAGAAGCTCTAGCCTCTCCTGAGCGCACCTCTGCCAGTGATCAGGGTAGCGATCGGTGACTAGCCAGTTAATTCCCGAGCCTGAGCAGGTCGATGCCTCCCTTACATCCTGAGACGAACAGGTGGTGTTGAGGTAGTTTGCCAACTCGACATGTCGACTGCTGAACTGATCCATATCTGCTGTACAGAACTACCGTAATGTTCGTCTCTGCGTGCACAAGGGTATCGAGACTGTACTGAAGGGCAGTTATACTATAGGCGTGGCGAAATAGATCTATAACTGAGTTTGAATGATATAGTTCGGACTTCGAATTGCTATACTGTATTCGGTAGGTGTTCTCACGCTTGTGGCACCGCATGCACATGCCATCCTCCAGCCTCCCTACCTTTTCACGACGCGTGCAAGCTTCCTACTGAAGCGATCCCATCCACAACTGTTTGTAAAATGAAAGAGATATATTTTTCTGGAGAATCTGTCTGGAAATGCGCTCTTTTGCCGCTTATGGTGCTATTTCACTCCCAAAATTGGGGCTGAAGAGTTATATCTGTACTGTGAGATCCGGGACACATAGCTAGGTAGAAGTACTATAGGTGGGTAAGTGACAAGTGATTCATTGAGTTTGGGATGCATAAAGTGAGCGGCGTGACAGCACCACCGAAAGAAAAATGATTTTGACTTCCAGGTTGCTTGATTTCTTGCGATTCACATGAGCAGTGGGATACACATAGAGGTGTCCATTCAAACTTAAAATACCACCAGGTTTTGCCTTAAGCTATCCAGAGAGTTAATACAGCATGCAGCGCCGCGAAGCAAAATTCATGTGCTGTGGAAACCGAAGAAACTAGCCTCGAGGGATATTTCAAGCGAGGGAGATCCCTGAATATAGCACTAGTATACCCTTTCAATAATATACCCCTTCTGAAGCTCACGGGGGCCGAACGGAGTGTCTTTCCCTTCTCTTTCTCTCTCTCCTTCGATTTAATTTCTTTAATTTCTTTAATTGATCTAAAAGTCCACACCTAAGCCTACTGAAGTGTATATATTTATTTAATGGAACAAACATATGTACTGAGTCTACAGTCGTGATTGTCATAACGGTGGTACACATGAATAAATACTTAGTGCGAATCTGAACGGGATATGGTATTAAATAGAATATATGAGGTTCGACTTCAAAAGAACAAGAACTCGACCGGGAGCCGAGGAGATGAAGAGTCGTCGGAATTCCGAAGACGCGATGGGCTGCGAGGTCAGTGAACATCCATGGCGCCTGTTTCACTGTCCTCCATGGTGCCCCGGTTCGGGGCCCTCGGGGCAACCAACAGGGACGATATCTGAATCTAGGTGAGTGTCCGTGCTGTATTTGGGATATGAATTACCAGCTGACCTTCAAATACGCCTGCACTGGGACAGGAAGACCCTGAGAAAAGTCGTATGTCAATGCAAATCGCAAGCGTCAGGACACTATGACTCACGTCAGCAAGCTGCTCCCAACCTTCCTTGCCGGTATAGACGCGCATCTCATACAACGGGAAACCCTTCCCCGAAGCGCGACGAGGCGTGGTATCATCCAACCCGGGCGGGGGATGGTAATAATCGTAATTGAGCCCCCTCCGCGGCTCCGTCGCGCGATACCCAGACTCTAGATAGGCGGGCGGCACTTCGCTGCTCGCGCTCGAGCCATGGCTTGGGATCACGAGGCCCGGGAGGAACGCGGGTGTCGCGCTGGGTGGCCTCCAGGGATCCGAGGTGTACGACAGGCTGGGCGGTTCAGGACGGCTGAAGCACATGTAGTAGTCTATGCGTGCAATGACAATTGCCAGAAGGACGCAGAGGGCGGTGAGGCCTAAGAATCGAATGCATATGAGGTTACGAGTGAACCTCGGGACGGCAGAAAGGTACGTACCGACAGCCAAGCCCACCCAGGCCCCTACAGACCACCGGGAAGTTGGTGTGTCATGCAGTTGTTCTTGCGCCAATGCGGAGGATACGATGCAAAGGAAAGAGAGCAAAAACAAGGGCGTTGACATAGAGGATGTAGAGAGGGCCTGGAAAGTTGTTCGTAGCGGTCAGATATCCTGTCTCATCGTGAAGGTTTGTAGAGCGGCTCAAAATGGTGACTCTCAGCCAGAGAGGTTCCAGTTGAGCAGCATTATTGCGCAGAGGGATGGATAACGAGGGTCCGGGGTAACTAACCCAACTTTCAGCCACAGTATGCCGTAGCTCGGACACCGACATTGCCTAATGAGGCGGACCTCGAGCGCGAAGCACCATAATTACGTAATCATAGCTAGCTGGTAATCGAAGGCAGCTTGGAGGAGGAAGGGCGGTGGACTATAGGTAGGGAGCACTGGTAATAAACTTGATATGGACATCATGTTGAGGTGGACACGGAAGGGCCGAATTAGGGAGTGAAAATTTCCCGCTTCAGCCTGTAAGATCCAACATGCTAAGGGCGCTCAGATCCAAGTGCCTCACATCCACCGCATCCACCCAGGAAGTCCCTCGGGCAATTGCTGCCAGCCAGTCGTCGAATGCAGCATCATGATAGCTGATCCGCGCATCGGAGCGCAGGGGATGTGCTGAGCTGCCAGGATCTCTCGGGGAGTGGTTCCCTGCCGACGGAACCTGCACGTACATGAGAAAGGGTTTGTGTCGTCGTAATACAGCGTGAGTGAGTATTTTGAGCTTCATGGGATCCATGGTTGGGGCTGCGATGGGTAACTCCAGTCTCGACCACAAGTCCCGCATAAATAGGATGTTGCCGTTCCTATAGACCAGGTAGTGATCGCAGATGGGCCGCACAACGTCAAAGGGGATGTCGCCTGGGTACGCCCAAATGTCCAGCATAGCCATGGACTTCGTACCGTAAGCCACAAGTATGTCATGCGACATAGGGGGGCGATACTGCAGCACACGATATAATGGGTCTGAACAAGCTGTCGCAAGGGCTAGACTAACGTGATCCCTTTCGTATGCTGAATACACGCGGATCTCCCGTAATTCAGGAAAAGAATCGGCGCGTCGTTCATATAGCGCCAAATGTTCAAGGTCCCTCATGGCCAGAAAGAGGATCTCAAGTGTTTTTCGGAGCGTCCTGAGTATACGACCGACGGCCTTCGTCTCCGCTATCCAGTCCGTTGACCCTATCGACGCTTCGTTATCTAGGAATAGATAACGTACGCAAGTATCCGGAGTGCTCTTTAGGATCTCTGCAAATGCGCGACTCTGGGATGGGCTGACTAGTTTCAAAGACTGAAACCGAGAGAATTTGGAAGTCTCCCGGAAGTGCTTGCAGACGATCGACAGTGATCGACCAGTCCGTCCATCGTCTGTGCAGGCATGACCAAATATCGTCTGCCAGGTTTCAGTAGGGAGGCGGTCCATAATCTGCAAATATGTGGCAGTAGCACAAGGCGGCAAGGCAGAGACAGAGAGTAGCTGACAGGAAGGTCGGAAAGGTTGCGAAACACAGATTCTGAATCTTTGAACTCACATGATACAGCGCACCTGGACGAGAGCCCCTTTGTCAAGGGCGAGAGCAAGGCTATCGGTGTGAGGCGATGGTATGATATATAGCAGGCGTGGAAAGCCACGAACTGCGGGAACAGCCACATTTCTATGGGAAATTGAGTACTTTCCTGGCTCATTACCCGGTACCTCAGCCGCACTTCACGCAACCAGCTAAGTCTATCCCGGGATGCCAGACCCGTCATTATTTCCTGACTAGTGTACTAGACTTCAGACGGAAGAAACATCATTCAGCGAAACATCCCCCTTCCTCGCAGCACGGCCAGGCGAGGGACGGTAACAATCATAAATCAGATCCCTTCCGGGCTGCGCAGCGCGATGGCTGAACTCCAGGCGAGCAGGTGGGTCCTCATTCCGCAAGTCGCTCGGGATCCCGAGCCCGGAAAGGAATGCGGGTGTCGGGCAAGGAAGCCTCCTGAGTCAAAGGGTTGTACGACAGGGTTAGCTCAGGCAAATAAAGTAGTCTGTGCGCGCCATGACGACGGATGGAGCAAGGCCTATCATGATGGATTAAATCAATGTGAGCTTGTTATTGCGAAATGGGGAGGTGCTTATCGACTGCAGAACCGACGTAGGCCCCTGCAGACCACTGGGAAGCTGGCGGGTCATACAGTTGTCGTTACGCCCGTGGGCGGGATATGCCGCAAAGGGAAATTTAAGAAGTTCGCTGAGACGGACGAGGATGTAGGAAGCAAAGACGTTCACGTGGTCATCGCACGCTGTTGGGAGGAAGGAGTGTCAAAATCGAAGTATAAATCCGAGGTGTAGCTAGTGAGAACGAAACGGAGGGTGCCACATAATTATGTATTGAAAGGGCCGGTCCTGACGGTAAAGCACTCGACGGGACCTGTATGCGCATGAAGACACATTTGCATCGTTGCAATAGAACGTGGTTGAGTGTTTTGAAACTGGATCCGGACAGGGGATCCAGGCCCACGCCCAGAAGCGCACTGGAGAGTGACAACTCCAATCCCACCCGCAACTCTTCCAGAAATAGCTTGCTACGATCTTTGCATGCCAGGTATGAATCCGCTAGGGGTATCGCCGGGGAGGAAGGGTGGAAGGCCACAACTTCAAGCAAATTCAGAGTCCTTGTCCCATGCGACACCAATATGTCACACGGGCCAGAGGGACGCATCCACAGTAGACGCATGAATGGTGAGGTACAGGCTCTGAGAGGCAATTCAGATCGTATACCGAATACACTCGGAGCTCACGTAGCGCAGGAAGGGGCATTCTCCAAGTATGCGGATCCAGGTCGTTACTTGCAACGAAGAGAATCAAGAGTCTGCTTAATTCTCTTCAGTATGTCCTGTATGACCAATAGGTCTCTGACAGATGATTCGGTAGAAGAAGTAGGCGGCTCAACGCGTAGAAAAAGATAGCGTATGAAAGTACACGGATGATCCTTCAGGATCCCAGCAAACGCACGATGTTAGGCTGCCCTGACTAGCTCCAGAGACTGGTACTGAACGGATTTGGAAGTATCCTGGAAGTACTTGCAGGCCATTGACAGTGATCGACCAATTCGTCCATTGTCCGTCAACAATATCATCTGCCAGGTCTCAGCAGGGAGACGGTCCTTAGCTGATATGTACGCCACTATGTGGCAGAGGCACGAGTATGGGAATTGAGAGGGCCGAGATGGCGTTGGCACAGTTTCCGCGCTCGGATTCCACAGCTTGAATTTAAAGAAGATGGACGCAGAGCGAGAGGAAGGGAATTGAATCCAATGTAACGATGAGGGCCCTTTGTGGCTGTCGAAATTTGGAAGAGAGCGACGAAGGAGGGTGGCGAAGACTGACTGTGGGAACAAATACGTTACCCTGGGAATATTATGAAGTGTAGGCCTTGGTATAAGCCCTGAACGTTAACCTCAGCCGCATTGTCTCTTCATGTAGACGTCCATCAGACGTCTGAACGCTCGCTAGAATTAAACAAACGGGGTGGTTGCCTAAGTGCATGACATGGATTGCAAAAACTGTGAGCTGAAAGCCAGGCATTTCTACTGCGCAGAGTGTCTACGCAAGCAGTAAGTGTTCTACTCCGTCATGGGATTATTCGCTGTTGACTTGCCAGCAGTTTATTAGACTTTAGGCGGAAGACACAGCACGCGGCTGCCGAGCGGGATGAACAGGTAGCCAAGGCATCCAGGGCTTTGCACTCCGTAGAAAGGGCGCGCAGGAGGAGAGCTGATCTGGCCGAGCGCCAAGCCAGAGTACAGCAAGTCTCAGCAGCGCTAACGAAACTGAGGAAGGAAAATGACAAAGGTGTGTATGCGAATCACTTGGATACCCTGCCACAACTCCTTTGCGGTATGACGTACCCCCGATGCGGCGTCTCTTCATGATCATCAGTATCACACCCGCATGGGACGGGCTGCAGGCTATCCCTCTCCGTTTTCGTCCATCCGATTTATCTTGTCATTCACACTAAAACGTATTGAAGCCCGCGAACGACTCAGGTCTCTCCGCGAAAGCCTAGCCACGCGACGGCGAAACATCTCCGCAGCGAAACTCCTGCCCGTGCCTGCGCTCGACCCCATCATTTCGCGCGAATCCCAGGAACTCTCTGCACTGTCGGATACACTGGCACGGGCTCGCTCGGGCCTCGTGCAAGAGCTTGTGGAGGTGTTCCATGTGGTGGAGGTTGGGGGGAGGCCGCCTATAGGTGGGAAGGCGGGCACCAAAGGCGAGTGGACCATCGGTGACTTGGTGCTCCCCGTGCCTGGTGATATACGGCGTAGGTCTAATACTGTCTGAAGTGCAGAGTTTTGTCCTGACGCGACAGTGCAGGTTACCCTCCAGACCATATCAATGCGGTCATCACACATACCATCCATTTCTTGGGGCTGCTGACTTTCTACCTCGGCATCAAACTTCCGTTCGAGGTGACGTGGAGCGGTAAGAAGCTCGGTGTTGGTCAGCCTTGGATTGGGGCTACCAGGGGCACCGATCACGGCGGATGGGCCAGGTAAATTCAATTCAAGCGTGAATGATCATTTACTGACCATCATTGTAGATGGTATTCGAAACAGCCGTTACATCTGTCTTCTGCGCCTGCGAGCACGATGGGTCCCACGACTTCCGCGCCGCCGATATCCGCCTCGATGTCCGAGTCATATGTCGATGCTGCGGCGTCATCCCAGTCTTCATTCACGACAGCGTTTGCAATGCTGCTGTACAACGTGTGCTACCTCGCGTACACGCAGTCCGTAGACGTGCCGCTTTCACAGGCCGGCGACGTCCTGAGCAACTTGTGGGCCGTTTGCTGCAGCTCAGATCTGGGCCGGTAAGCACCGGTTTAGCAATGTATCGTTGTCAGTCATTCACTGAATTTTAGCCGATCGCATGAGACTCACCCTTTGCTCCCCCCGCCTACGCCGCCCAGTTTCGGTCTTGACTTTGCGCAACTTTTGCAAGCGACGGCTGCCAGGCCTGTTCCTCGACAACGAGCGAAGGTGCATCGCTCATCTACTGATACTCCTCGCCTCGTCCATAAACCGCAAGCTATAGCAGAGGAAGAAGACGGTTGGGATCTTATCGAGGATGTTGAAGAGGGCAGTTTTGGTGGCTAGAGGACGCCTTTCTGGAGCCATTCTCGGTGTCTGCTGCTATCGTTTCTTGCATGTTTTCTGTAGCATAGCTAGATGTATCTCTGTCTCAGTAGTGTATTATTGAAATAACCCTCTGCTCTCTGCAATAACGATAGACGTGTTACAGTCCGCGACTCTTGCCACACCTCCGGACCGGGACTCGGATAGACGCCGGGTACCCCTTGCCGCCTCCAACTTGAACCTCCCATATGCATGTTGTCATCGAGCAGTCATTCGAATCCGAATGCTATTCTTGCTTTGCACCGGTCCGCGATGTGTTCCCAGCTTGACAGCTGGCTGAGCCGAATCACGTTCTTTACCATCGACACCCACCATGACTTCCATGTACGACGCACCGCCCGCCGATGGCAGGGAGGCTCTGGCTAGACTACAAGCAGTGGTGAAGTCAGGCCGGCCTATCATCGGAGGGGGCGCCGGTACTGGCATTTCCGCCAAGTTCATCGAGAAAGGCGGAGGGGATTTACTTATCATATACAACTCTGGGCGGTATCGGATGGCCGGGAGGGGGTCGCTCGCCGGGTTGATGCCCTATGTACGTGCCACAGTTTCAGTGACCGGGCGAGAGAATGACCTCCGGCGCGATTCAGGGCGATGCCAATGCCACGGTGGTGGACATGGTGCGCTGCCGCAGTGATTATTTTGTGTGGCTGGGATTGACTGCTCGTCTGCTGTCAGGCGAGCGAAGTGTTGCCCGTCGTACGTCACACGCCTGTCCTTGCCGGCGTCTGCGCTTCCGACCCGTTCAGGAGTATGCCGCGCTTTCTGCGGCAACTCAAGGAGATTGGGTTCGCTGGGGTACAGGTCAGGCAGGGCATACATTTGTCTACTCGACTTTGAATCTGATAGCTGCCAACCTTACATAGAATTTTCCGACGTGAGTTACTCACGGCTTTTCCCTGACTGTGAGATCTGTTCAGATCCTCATCCGCCATCTAGTGTTGGTTTGATTGATGGCACATTCCGCCAAAACTTGGAAGAGACAGATATGGGGTACGAAAAGGAGGTGGAGATGGTCAGAGAAGCCCGCAAAATCGGGCTCCTGACCACGCCCTACGTCTTCAACCCGGACGAGGCCACCCGCATGGCCCGCGCAGGTGCAGACGTTATCGTAGGTATGTCATGCGATCAGATCCGCAGGCACGCAGCTGAATGGATCGCATCGCACCAGCCCACCTCGGTTTGACGACGAAAGGCTGTGAGTACCGCTCTGATAGGACATCGCAGTATTCTCTCTCAGCGCACTCTCACGATCAACTCACGATGGTTTGCTGCACCCAGCCATTGGCGCGCAGACGTCCAAGACTTTGGACGACTGCGTGAAGATGACCCAGGATATGGCGGACGCAGCTCGGGCCGTAAATCCTGACATTATTGTCCTCGTCCATGGGGGCCCTGTGGCAGAGCCTGATGATGTGCAATATGTGCTGGAAAGGACAAAGGGCGTTCAAGGATTCTTCGGGGCGAGCAGCTTGGAGAGGCTGCCGGTAGAGATCGCGATCACGGAGGGTACTAGGAAATTCAAAAACCTCAAAATCTAGGAAATACAAGGTTTAGTGTCATTGTGTCACATCTTCCTGGGCGGCGCGCTAAACCATTTCCCAAGTATTCATATTGTTGTATTATGAGATTTCAAAGCTTGCACCGGTCATCAAACGATAGATCGATGAAGTCATGATTCCGTCGGTCAACTGGTATGTAGGCGGGCTTGAACAGCTTATGATCTTCGCGACGGCCTTGCGAAGCCCGACGCGACCGCGGACTGCACCGCCGCGATCAAGTTAGTTTCACTCCCGGATAGGCAATTGAGCAGTTTCGCAGGCGGTAGCACTTGCCTCCGGAGGTAGGTCTCTTGCAAATTCCTCTGTAACGCCACGTCAGCCGTAAGCCATGACTGCGAGTCTTCAATTGCTGCAGCTCTCCGGCGCAAAGTCAAGGTGAGTTGTATTGCAGCCTCTGCGAGTCAGTCGCAAAGCTGCTAGTCATAGGGAGTTTGTTCCAAGCCACGATGACTCCTTCGTAGCTGCTGCCCGCTGACACCTCTCGAGCGTAGCATCAATTAGACAATTTCACTCTCGTTTTGCACAGCTAGTGGATATATTTCTGGAACATGCAAGAGCGGTGGATCACAGTACTTGCCCTCACGGTAGGCGTATCTACCCTTGCTTCATCAGACTAGGTCATGCTGACTTTGAAACCAATCACGACTTGTTTTGATAGCTGCAGAGCTTTCCGAACGCATGATCCGGTATGGTTCTGACTCGGACTTGCGTCTCCCGCCTGCGTGCCTGAGCAAGGGCGCTTGCGGAAGGCGCTGCGTCCCTTCCACGTGGAGGTGCTTGGGCGCTTCCGGAGGGTATGGGGGTGTCCAGAAATACGATGTGTTCCAGATATTTCTCATTGCACATCTGCCTGCTGACATCAGCAGTACTATTGCTTGTGCGCATGCTGATGCATCCACGGCGAGTCACGGTCATTCAGATCCGCGGCGAGTCAAGGTCATTCAGGTAGGGCCGTCAGCTTCATGCTCGACCCGATCATCCGACTGTGAATGACGAGGGGTTTCTTGGTGAACGAGCTCGACCCTGCTACGGCAGGGGATCCCCTCTGGTCTCGGTTTTGATGTTTTAGGTGCGTCATCTAGAACAGCCGCAGCCGCATACTTAAGGCGCTGCGGTATGTCATGTACGATCCTCAAAGTCCTCATGGCTCTATCTCACATAACTTATGGATTGACTAGTCTTGTCCTCCTCTTCGCTGTCTATCTGAAATACAGCCGCAGGTCGACACCTGTTCCACCTGGACCGCGCAGCTGGCGTATTGGCGGCGTCACGCACCTAATCCCCAAGAAGCATCCGTGGCTATCGTACGCAAGATGGAGCGAGAGGTTTGGTGCGGCCTATTGCATCCGTTTTTCGAGGCCTATATACTGACGAGTACTGCAGGTCCAATCATCTCGTTTCGCGTATACAACCAGACCGTCGTCGTGTTGAACGATACTAAGGCAGTTCACGAGCTGCTGGACAAGCGGCAGGCGTTCTACTCCGATCGTCCGCGCTCGTGGATGCTCCACGACCTGTGTGGCCGAGCGAATACTGTTTTCAATATTTCTGCCACCAATGATAGGCATAGGAAATACAGAACGCTCCTCCGGGGCGGTCTTAGTCCCCAGGCGACACTGTCCTACGCCCCACTGCTGGAGTGCGAACTGGCAGATCTTGTGACGCGCCTCAATGATTCGCCTGCGTTATATCGAGAACACATTAGAAGGTGATCGCTGATGGCAATGCACATTATCTGCAATCTGAATGCATGTTTCCCAGGAACGCCGCAGCTATTATTATGAGAGTAGCTTATGGCTATACTGTTGCTAAGGACAACGATCTATTTGTGCGCACTGCGGAGGAGGCATCGCAGATCAGCGGCCTTGCAATGGCTCCAGGGCGTTGGTTGGTGAATTACTTTCCTCTCCGTGAGTGGCCGCATGTCAAACTAGGAAGTACTGACTAACGTTACATATCCAGTGCGTTTCGTGCCAGGTTGGTTTCCAGGTGCTGGATTCCAGAGACAAGCCGCAATATGGAGGAAAGAGCTCGACAAACTGTCGGGCGTGCCTCATCAGTGGGTTCGCGATCAAATGGTAAGCACCGTCTCGAGTTGCTGGCGTTCGTAAGTCACACCTTGATATTAGGCAGCTGGCATCGATAACGATTGCTTCACCACACGACTCCTGAAGCCCAGCAGCGGGAAGGTTGCCAGCGTAGATGAGGAGGATATTATCAAATGGGCTGCGGGGGGTCTCTACGCAGGCGCCGCTGACACGGTGAGTATACGTCGTCGCATATACGGAGATACGAATCCTCACCTATCTGTGCGATCGAATAGACATTCTCAGCACTGGTCTCATTCATCCTACTTATGGCTGTCCATCCGGACGTACAGGATCGTGCTCGGGCGGAGATTCTCGAACTTACAGGGGCGGACCGTCTGCCGTTTGTCAGCGATATTCCGCAGTTTCACTATCTGTCCGCCGTGTTGAAGGAGGTGCTGCGATTCGCCCCCGTTGCGCCCTTGGGTAAGACTTCTCTCGTACGCGATATTATCCATGGTCTCACCTGTATCCCATTTCAGCTCTACCTCACCAGGTAACTCAGGAAGATGAGTATGGTGGTTACCGTATTCCGAAGAATGCGACGGTCATGGCTAATGTCTGGTATGTTCCTCCAATCATGTTTCCCGAGCGGGGCACTCACTGAGTTGTTCTAGGTCCATCATGCATGACGAGACGCTCTACCCTGATCCGTATACCTTTGATCCCAGTCGATTTATCCCAGTCAAATCTGGGGATAGTTTACAGCCGGATCCTCGAGGATACTCGTTTGGTTTCGGGAGACGCACTTGCCCAGGTACGTGCCAATTCTATGAGGCGCTTGACGGTCATCGACACCTATGATTTCTCTCAGGTTCACATTTTGCTGAGACGTCCATGTTGCTGATCATGGCTGGGATCCTGCTCAAGTTCGATATTTCCTCATCTCGCCCACGGCCCGCCATCCATCCACTCGAATTTACGAGTGGTATTACGAGGTGCGTAGATCACTCTAGGCATGCTGAACGCGTCTCTGACCGATGGCCATCCATAGCCACATCAAACCGTTCGATATAAATATTGTTTCACGCAAGTAATCACGGACATACACACAAAAGCGGACTAGTTTCATGCTAGCGTTTTGTATCATGGACATCACCTGTAGCCTACAATCCCGACCGGTGTATATCTGTGTTGTATACTAATGATATTACTACCATCTTCCTAGTTATAGACATGCACAGAATATATAATGTTGTAATACGGCCGTGGCGTCCCATAAGGTCCAGAACTGAAACAATAGTAGTGCCTCTCCGCACAATGCCTGCAACACATACATTCTTCTCTTCCTCACACGATGACGACCTACCGCCCGACGCCCACCGACTCCCTATGGACCGAAACGTCGACTTCACAAGCTGAAACGGAGGAAATATTGGCGAAGCACATCCCCTCTGCCGATAACCCTGCCCAGCCACTTCACCGGAACGCCCACCTGCAATGGCTCGTGCGGAACCTGATCCAGGGATTCCCGACGCGGTATACGAGCCAGGATGCGAGTCAGCCGTGGCTGATGTTCTGGACGCTGCAGAGCCTGAGTACATTGCAGGCCGGACTGGATGCGGGGAATAAGCAGAAGTGAGTGCATGTTCCGCATCCGGGTTTGAATGTGCTGAAGTCGCTGTGCTGGTGGTCTCCAGGGCGATAAACACGATTATGTCGTGGCAACATCCGGAGGGGGGATTTGGAGGGGGCCCGGGGCAGGCGCCGCATCTGCTTGCGACGTACGCGTCCGTGTGCGCCCTGGCGAATGTGGGGAGGCCAGGGCCTGGTGGGGGTTGGGACCAAATTGACCGGTGAGTCTTGCAGGTCTTTCTTGAACGCTTTAGCTGCTGATGTTTGCACCTGAAGTGAGAAGATGTACAAGTTCTTCATGTCGGTCAAGCAACCGGACGGGTCGTTCACGGTGATGCATCACGGGGAGGTGGACGTGCGGTAAACAACGCCGAGTTTGCAGTGGGTCTACAAATGCTCATTACTTCTTGGCTGGACCACAGAGGAATCTATTGCATGCTCGTCGTCGCGACCTTGCTCGACCTCCTCACGCCCGAGCTTGTCGAGGGCACCGCCGCCTTCCTTGCCTCCTGTCAGACCTATGAGGGCGGCTTCTCTTCCGCCTCACAACCGTACTTCTCCTCGTCCTCCCTTCTTCCCTCTCCTCGCCCCCCGCTCGGAGAGGCGCATGGCGGGTACACGTTCTGCGCGCTCGCGTCGTGGGTGATGGTGCGTTCCTTCGCCCCGCCGCCAGAAGGGGTTAGCATCGACGTGCGGAGGCTCCTGAGGTGGTTAGTCATGATGCAGGGGAGCGAGCAAGAGCTTGGGGGTTTCAGGGGGAGGACGAACAAGCTCGTGGATGGGTGCTATTCGTGGTGGGTCGGCGGAGCGTTTGCGTTGCTGGAGATGCTCGGCGTACCGGGGCACCATGCACAGGAGGATGATGTATCAGAAGGTCAAGAGGGAGCACATGACGAATGGGACGACGTGGATGGTGAGCGTGTTCCTTGGCTCCGTGCTAATGAAGTGTGACGGGGGTCTAGATGCGTTGTTTAATCGGAAGGCTTTGCAGGAGTATATCCTGTATGCGGGACAGCACCCGACTGGCGGGTTGCGAGATAAACCACCCAAGTGGGTGACTATGATTTTTATCTATCCCGTCGATTGCGATGATTGATGTGAGTCTGGCAGGGTATCGGATGCGTATCATACGCTGTCATGTCTCTCGGGATTGGCGTCTGCGCAGCACCACGTTACGCCATCATCCACCCGACGAGAGGAGATCACACTTCTATGGGAGACCGACACAGGTGCGTTGTGCTTGTCACCTCTGAAGTTACAGACCTTGCCTATTGCTGCGATGACAGATTCACCTTTCGACGAGCAGCGGAAGAGCGCCTTCGCCGACGCGCTCGCGTGGGTGGAGGAAGAGGGCGCATCCAAGTTTGTCGGCGGCTCGGGCAATCGTGTGGTGCGTTTGCGCATTTACTGGTATCTTTACGGTTGTGTGGTTAACTGATTGTTGTAGAACGCAACACACCCCATATTTAATCTGACTATGACCCATACCGATGCGATGATGGGCCATTTCTACCGCCAAACTGTGCCTCCTAGGATGGTTAGGAGGCGTCCCTGAATTTCTAGAATGCCGGGATACCCTATGAAAGATGTAGCACTAAAGAAGCGTGAAAACCGAATGTATCGTAGTAGTATCCAAACCAAATCCAAACTGTCCGAATGTAACGCGTCGGACGATCTGCAATTGGCCCTTTGCGTCGCAGGCTCTCCAACTCCTTACACTCCTGCTCTACTCCGTCATGTCTGCTGGCTCATTGCTGCCTCTACCGTTGCATTTATACTCGACTTATCGTTCCGATATTCCTGTAATATATACTGGGGAGGTACTTTTACAACAGAATCCGAGCCATGGTAAGATAACGATCGAGCGATCGAGTCATCGATATGCCATCGGCAACAAAGTATTTATCCAAAATTTTGGGCCAACGACCTGTACTGCTCCCTAACCGGCTGCATTCACCCAGATATCTCTCGAAAATGGCTCCTCTGTCGCATCGCAGCATAAGGGGTGCGTATCCGGAGCAGTTCATACAGGCGTCGACTTATATCGATTCATTGTAGATGGCTGGTTCAGAGAGATATCGTCTCAATGGCCGGGGCAGGCGATGACCTTGAAGGTTAACAAGATCCTTCATGTCGAAAAATCTCTGTACCAGGACGTCCTTGTCTTTGAGTCGGAGACGTACGGAAATGTGTTGGTGCTGGACGGAGTGATCCAATGCACGGAGCGTGATGAGTTCTCGTGAGTTCGTTCTTTGAATTCGTTCGGGCGCACCCTAAAATACGTATATCGTAGTTACCAGGAAATGATCGCTCACTTGCCCCTGGCAAGTCATCCCAACCCGAAAAAGGTGCTGGTCATCGGAGGTGGGGATGGTGGTGTCGTGCGTGAAGTGCTCAAGCACAACACAGTGGAGGAAGTTGTCCTTTGCGACATAGATGAAGTATGTACCTTCCTGACGCCATTCCATGCACGGCAACTGACTGTTGTAAAGGCCGTTATCCGAGTCTCCAAGAAATACCTCCCCCACATGTCCGGCCTGCTCGACAATCCCAAGGTCCGCGTCTTCGTCGGCGATGGGTTCAAGTTCCTGCAGGAAAACCAGGCAACCTACGACGCGATCATCACCGACTCCTCCGACCCCGTGGGCCCCGCGGAGGCGCTCTTCCAGAAGCCGTACTTCCAGCTGCTACACGATGCTCTCGCACCGGGTGGGCACATCTCCACGCAGGCCGAGTGCCTCTGGCTGCACCTCCCACTCATCCACGAGCTGCGCACTATGACAAAGGGGCTGTTCCCTGTCGCCGAGTACGCGTTCACCACCATTCCGACGTACCCCTCAGGCCAGATTGGCTTCGTCGTGTGCTCGAAGGAGGCTGGACGCGATCTGAAGACGCCCGTGCGCAAGGTACCTGGGACGAGATACTGGAATGAGAAGGTGCACGCGGCCGCGTTCGTGCTGCCCGAGTTCGGGCGTGCGATGACAGAGGAGGGCGTGGACCTCACGCCGAAGTTCGGGCGCGCGCTGGCGGAGGCCAACCTGCAGCAGCCGAAGAAGAAGATTCTTCTCCTTGGGAGCGGCTTCGTCGCGCGTCCCTGCGCAGAGTTTATCGTCCGGAACGCGGCGAATGAGCTCACCATTGGTAAGACATTTTACTGCTCTCTTTCCTGCACCTCTTCATTTCCGATGTCTGCCTGCTCTAGCTTGCCGCACTCTCAAGAGTGCCCAGGCACTGGCGGCGGGCCTCCCGGCCACCACCGCTATCTCGCTCGACGTTAACTCTACCGAGGCCCTCGACGCACAGGTCGCCGCCCACGACCTTGTTATCTCGCTCATCCCGTACACATACCACGCTGCGGTGATCAAGTCCGCGATCAAGGGAAAAACGCATGTCGTGACGACGAGCTATGTCTCGCCTGCGATGCGCGAGCTCGACGAGGAGGCGAAGAAGGCGGGGATCGTCGTCATGAACGAGATCGGGCTCGACCCCGGTATCGACCATCTGTACGCGGTCAAGACGATCTCGGAGATCCACGAGAAGGGGGGCAAGGTACGCGCCCTCGTCGATGTTCATTATGCATTGCTTACACGTTTTCACAGGTCAAGCAGTTCCTGTCGTACTGCGGCGGTCTGCCGGCGCCCGAGTGTTCCGGCAACCCGCTCGGGTACAAGTTCTCGTGGTCCTCGCGCGGCGTGCTGCTCGCGCTCCTCAACAACGCGTCGTACATCGAGTCCGGGAAGCAGTTCGACGTCTCGGGCACGGATCTGATGAAGTACGCACAACCGTACTTCATTTCGCCCGCCTTTGCGTTTGTCGCGTACCCGAACCGCAACAGCGTACCGTTCCGGGAGTGGTATAATATCCCCGAGGCGGAGAAGGTGGTCAGGGGCACCCTGCGGTACCAAGGCTTCCCCGAGTTCGTGGCAGCGCTCGTGCAGCTCGGGTGGCTGGATATGAATGAGAAGGCGTGGTTGACGTCGGAGCTTACTTGGTTGCAGGTGATGCAGAAGTTGACTGGTGCCGAGGAGGCGAGTGAGAGGTCAGTAGTTTCGCTGTCTTGTTCACGTTAATGTCAGCTGATCTTGCCTTAGCGCTGTTGTTTCTCGCGTCAAGGCACTCTGCAACTTCCCCAACGAGTCTGAGGCGACGCGCATTATCTCGGGCTTCCGCTGGATTGGCCTATTCTCGGGAGAGAAGGTCAAGCCGCGCGGCGGGAACCTGCTCGACACGCTCTGCGCGCGGTTGGAGACGCTGATGAAGTACGAGGAGGGCGAGCGCGACCTTGTGATGCTCCAGCATAAGTTTGTCGTACAGTGGCAGGATGGGTCCGAGGTTAGTAACTGAGTTACCAAATCGTACGATGGGGATTTACTGAATGTGGCGTCTGATCACAGCAAACGCTCACGTCGACGTTGGAGGCATACGGCATCCCGGACGGGTACTCGGCGATGGCACGCACCGTCGGTGTGCCCTGCGGCATCGCGACGCAGCTCGTCCTGGATGGCGTGCTGAACCAGACGGGTATCCAGGCTCCGTATACAAAGGAGATCTGTGAACCTATCAGAGAGATACTGGAGAGCGAGGGCTTGGGCATGGTCGAGAGGGTGTTGTAAGACTGACGTTCAAAAGATGTATCCATATGACGGATCCCCTTGTGGGATGGTCTGTCGATTGTGTATCTAAGCTGTGATTGCGAGACTATGTGAGACAGCACAGAACTGTGGTTAGGTGCTTTGGATTCTGCCGTCCGTACCAGATATACCTACTTCACATCCTTGACCGCCCCCACGCCTTCTTTATGACCTCTGGCACTACAGGGGAGTGAAGGGAAGTGCCTAGCAGCTGCAATTACTTGATCGCGCTACGAGGAGCGACGGTATAGCACGACTATGACTATTATGACAGGGTGAAAGAATAGGTATGTGAGTCAGCGCAGAAAGATCCCATATATATCTCGAGCTGTAGCTTTATTATGCCATCCTAGCCAACCATAGACTCTTCACCTGTTCATATTTGTCCTCAGCTGGGCACCAGGGATCGAGAAGGGCAGACCTGATTGTGGGTTCTTCGCTAGGCAACAAATTCGTAGCTCGAGCCCAATCTCTATAAGCGACGCCTTCCCTCTCGGTTCGATACCGCTTAGATGGCACCCGCCGGACACGCATACTCCGAAGCATAGGGAACAGTTCAAGCAGGCTTGTGGGTTGGGATGGATCACCGTCATGATCCCGATCGACAAGAGCTTCTCAGGAACGGAAGATGGAGTCTTGCGAGACTTCAAGGTCCGCTAATAAGGGAACGCTGTTGGGGAGAGTGCGGAGGAGAGCGACAGCCTTCGTGCTGCCATGCTGGCGGCCTAGCATGGATCCTTCAAACGTCAGTGTCGTGAGGCTGGGGAACACTTGGTTTATGACGTCCATGGAGCTAATGTGGTCGCCGTGAATGCTCAGCTCTTGCAATCTTGGAAGTGAGATAGGCGAGAGGAGAAACCGCCTTACTCCGTGAAGATAGAGTGTGAGTGTTTCTAGGGAACACGAGATCTCCGAGAGCAGCTCGCACAAGCGCATGCCCCGCTCATGGTTTTCGGGCAGAAGCATAAAATTCCGTGATGAGGTCGAAGGGCGATATGTCGCATGCATATCGCATACAAAGAGATGTAGCACATCTAGTGTCCTTCTCGGATGTTTCTTCTTCAATATGGCAAGGAAAAGGGATATCCGTTTGGTGCCCTCGAGCATCACAGAGTGGCATCTGAACGGTGCCGACGCTTCGCGCACGTATTTGGAGACTAGCGCAAGCGAACAGCCTGTTCTCCCTCCGTCAGTGCAAGCATGGGAAAATATACTTTGCCACAGTTCGACGGGGCAGTTGAGCATTCCGACGTTGTCCAGTTGTTGAAGGGTAAATTGCAATGGCAATGACATGCCGCACGTCCGAACCCGTAACGACAGGCGAAGATGTTCTCTTCCGTCTACAAGCCACTAGGAAGGGTTAGTCTCCATTCTCTGATCAAAGATTCGTATTAGCACGAACGACAAGAGAGGACGATCGCGAGTTGTGCTTTGCAGCACGCGGTTTAGCTTCAACCTGCATGTGGCATTTCGCATGACGGCACGGACGTTCCCGGTGGCACAATCGGGGAAGTGTTCACACGGTCGATTGGCCTGATTTCTCGCATACATGGCAGTGGCTTCGTGGTGGAAGACTCTCATAACTTCCTCTTACTCTCAATCGCAAGTACTCACACGGCAGAAAGGCAAGGGCACTGTTTGTACTGGGAGGACACGGAGAGCGGCTATACTCTGCGACGTACATCCATCTCCTTCATCTTGTTCATCTTGCTATCGCACACGCCACTTGCACAACTTGAAGTTCAGTGCTAATCCTTGACTATGGATCATCTTCCTCTTGAGACCTGGCGGGTGGTATCTAGGTATGCTTGAACCGATGACGGGTATACTGGTCGCTCCCTGTCCCGCGTGTGCAAATATTTCCGTGAGGCCTCCGAAACTGTCCGCTTCCAGTCGCTGAAGCTGGTTGGAGCATGTCAGCTTCATGCATTCACCCAATTTCTGCGGCAGAATCCAGACATACGCGTGCGATACCTGTTCGTGAGCGACGGCCAGCTGGATACTCCTGGCCCCTCTCCAGCAGACGAGAGGCCCGTCGGAGAGCTGGCCACGACACTCGAGGGGATGGACCTTGCGCTTATGGCTCTACTCCAAAGACTTGGACCCTCAACAGAAATTCTATTCTTCGACTTCCTTCCGTCTGACCTGCCTTTTCTTGACGAGTCGTCCGAATCCGCGCACCTCCTGGACTGCGGGAAATCAGGATATACGGCACATTCTCTGTCGATCATCGTCCAGATGCCACGAGAGCCGCTTTCTCGCCTCTGCAGGATGTCCGCAGTGCACTTTCTAACGGGTCATGCGATGTCATCGTGGCATACGGGCAGAGGGTTAGCAGGGATCTCGTAGGTCTTTCTCGCATGCAATCAAGAGAGACAGAGTTGGACAGTTCGGGAGTAGCACTGCGTCACCTTGCTCTGGACCTGGGTATCTTCCCTGAACACGGCGACAACACACCCCAGATAATGACCCACACTTTCTTGAAACAGCACATGGTGAAGTCCCCGGAGTCTCAAGCTACCGCGATGTAGCGTATGCGGACTGATTGTCAGCGATTGCTCGCGGGAGTTATTGGGTGACCGCCGTCGATCTATAGCGCTTGCGGTTAACCGTGAGCGAGGCGAGATTAGATCATCCCACGTCAAATGGAACGGAACGTGATGCCTTGTCTTCATGACATATGCTCATGTTCAACCACGATTGCCCCTCGCTCGACGCTCTACCCACTCAAGCGAGTCTGTACGTCAGAATCGCTACGGAACTGCCTGCATTTGCTATGCAGCAATATTCGTGACCCTTTGGAACAATCCCTGGGGTCCTGCTCGTGCCAGGCGCGAGCAAGCGTGACGTCACGCGACAAATGAGTTCTCACGACCGCGTGAGCGCGTCTCGACCAGAGCTCGAGGGCTGCCTATTCGTAACGCAGTAACAGAAACATTTCTGAGTATTGGAACTAAAAGAGGGACATATATACACGGATTCATCATACCTATCATAAATTTAGACATTGTATTTGATTTTAGAGAGCATGTACAAGAAAATCACTCCTTAGGAGGAGTAGCAAGCTTCCCCTTCAGTCCCGACATGGGTCCAGTGAATTTTAGACATGTGTGTACCATACTGTAGATTATGTGTGCCAAGTACCAGTGTGGTATGATATCTGTTCCCTAATTGACAGCCTGAATACTCCTGGATTGGTACATGCTTGCTACCCCTCCTGTAGATTGCACCGCTGCGCCGAATTTCGTTGTTTTTTCAATGCCATGTTTGTTCTCTATATCAAAAACCCCTATATACAGATTCAAAGCACCATTCGAGCCCGAATGCGGCTGCTACAGATTTTGCTTGCCCGAAGGCCATTTGGCGTGCGAAAAGTCACGCCGCGCCTTATGTTCGGAAAACGGCTGTAAATGCCTGGCTTAATATTTAGCCGACGAAAATAGCCATATAATCACCATACACGCATCGCACATATTGTGATTCTATCATCTCTATTATCACCATCAACTCAACATAAAACAGGCGATTGAATGCTCCCATGCCCGCTGTGTCAGTACAGTTCAAGTTGTTGTGGCGGTGTGACAGGTGACCTCACACGGTTACGCGCGTGACAGAGGTTCCAGGAAGCGCGCTAAATTTAGCAACTGTCTTGTTTCTACCTGCCACTATTAGCGAACGGGCCACAGACCCCGTACAAACAATATCAACCAAGGTCGAGCCACACGACCCATAAATGTCGTTCCTCAGCGTGATTTCGCTGCTCAGCCGCGTACGTCTTCCTGTCTTGTGTGGCATCCTCAACTATTCACAAGATGGTCCATCCTACCGCATACGACAATCTACCTCTATTCCAACCTGAAATGTCCACCGCTGACCGCGCTGCATCCCATCCCAACGCATCCAAACATCAATTTGCCTCCTGCAAGGCTGACCATGCTGAGCATCGTCGTGCCGCGGGAGTCGAGAGTTCTGTCTACCTACACGGCGAGGGCAAAGTGAACGTTAGAGACTTCCTGCAGACGGAATGCTTTCCAGGGTTAGAACTTCCGAGAGTTTCACCTGAGAAGGTCAAACGATTTCAAAAGTTCCTTGAGAAAGTACAAGCAGTCCAGACGTCTAGCGGGTGGTCCGAGCGTCCTATGTATACCCCACTGGTAAGTCAGTCTTCTCCGTCACTGATACGTCACTATTAAACGCTACGTAGGTAAATTCGTTTGTAGATATATCAACAAATGCCGTCCGCACGCGGGCGTTGCCACTTCGCTTCCATACGTGCGCAGATTTACGGCCCTTGGATTCTAATGGGGGCGTGAGAGCGTCCCCCGATATTGCCATACACGACAATAATGGAAAGGAAACATATTGGGGTCGAAGCTTAGCCTTTATTGAGGTCAAGCCAACGGAGGCAGATGATCCCTTCTACAACATCCACGAGCGCAAGGAGCTCAGAATGGGGCAGACGAAGGTTTGGAACCAAATACAAGAGTATGCCGCGATCTCGTTCCGCAGTACTCCTCGTTGTTTTCTCCTGGCCATCGGTATCTTCGGCGATACCGCTCGCTTCTTCCGATGGGATCGGTCTACAGTCATGGCCTCCGAAGGGTTCAATTATAAGCGCCATCCCGAACATCTCGTTCACTTTCTTATTGGGCTCTCCGAATACGCGAACGGTGGAATAGACGCCACGGCTAACGCTCCGATTACCGCGCGCGCTGAACAGGAGCTGGTGGAGAGACAGTACAAGATTGCGCAACAGCTTCTCGTTGTCCCGGAGTACAAGCCTTCACGAAAGGGCGACACCCTGGTCAAAGACAGTCGTCGTATGCTGATCCCCTCGCCATCCCAGACGGCTGGAAAGAAACGATTTGACACGTACCTGACCCTGGGGCGCCCCATATTCACTAGCAAATCGATCTTCGGTCGTGGTACGTGCGTCTGGGTAGCAACAAGAGCCACTCCTAGGCGTGGGGGGAAGGAATCGTTGGTCATTATCAAAGACTCCTGGCGGGAGAACGGACGATGGAAGGAAGGACAGATATACGACAAGATACGCGAAGCAGGAGAGCACGTACCCGGTGTTGCCCGCCTTCTTGTCGACTATGATATTACCGAGGACGAGGAGGACGAGATCCACCGAACGTCAGCGTTCCGCCTCAACCGTAGCTTTAAGAGCGACCAGAAGAAGAAGAAGAAGTACAAGGAACTCATCCATCACCGAGTTATTCTCCCCTCTGTCGGGATACCCCTATCGCGCTTCACATCTACGCGCCTCCTCCTGGAGGCTGTGAGGGATGCAGTTGAAGGTGAATATACAGTTTCGTTATCAGTTCTTTAATGAACACATGAACGTAGGCCACAAAACCATGTGTGCCCGGCGTGTTATACATCGAGATATCAGCGTCAATAACATTATGATAAGTGCGGATGTGGAAGCCGAAGGAGGAGCCAAAGGCTTTCTCATAGACCCAGAGCTAGCGGCAGCAACCGGGATGGCTAATCTGCAGGCTGAATTGCAGCATCTCACTGTCAGTCTCACATTGTATACGGCTCACACTTAGCTCATCCTCCTCTCAGGGCACGTACCAATTCACTTCCATACACCGATTCCTTGTTGCGAAACCCGGAGACCACGCCCCATGGAACGATCTAGAGTCATTTTACTGGGTTGTGCTATTCGTCGTGCTACGGCACACAGTGGCATATGTCGACGAAGATGGCAAAAGGACCGAAGCTGGCAAGCTGATAAAGGACCTATACGACAGTGGGGACCATTCTCCGACCTTGAAAAAAGGCTTTCTCGAAAGAAAAGCGGCCAAATTCGTCGTGGAAGGTAACCGCCCCTTAACGAGCTGCCTAATTAAGCTGGGCAGCCTTGTATACAGCCATTATCGGGACGAAGAGATACAAGCACTGCTTCCTCATGCAGTCAATCGTCTTACCCACGACAACGTTCTGACTGTGATCAACGAAGCTTTGACGTCGGAGGGCTGGCCTGTGGCTGATGAAGCCATCCCCTTTACCCTGGTAGAGAGGGTGAGCATCCAGGAGAATAAAGAAACCGGACTCGCCCTGGAAGGACATGGGGAAAGCTGGACTATGCCGTCGCTCCCGCATGCCGCATCCGTGTCCAACGAAGGTTCCGCCAAAATGAACGACTCCTCGCCATCCCATGCCGCGTGCGCTTCCAACGGAGGCTCTTTCGAAGTGAACGATCCTTCACCACAGCCGACGTCATCGCAGAAGCACAAGAGCGTTCCAGTTGAAAAGAAAGTGGAAAGTGGAACCCGTCTGCGCAGGTCTGCGCGGCTTAATCAGCTCAAGGTCGATGGGGGAAAGCAACAGAAAAGGCCGAGGGCGGAAGAGCATGCTCCTGCTGCAGCTTCTAAGCCAACCTCAAAACGTTCTCGACAGCAGCCTGCAAGGGATGTTCCTCTCAGGCGTTCCCAGCGCATTGCTTCCTCTACTGCCGCCCCGAAAGGACGAGAAGCCGCGAAGGCCAGAGCTACCGCCCCCCGCCCACGCTCGACTCGCAACGCTTGACGTGTCTCGTCTGTCTCTATATCTTTCTTATCTGCTCTATTTATCGGTGTAGCCCTATCATTTGCCTGCGTAAGTCATTTCTGGTCGTTTGCCGTGTTGACGGGTATACCCTTGTGAAAGTTTGAATGTCCCCTTGTCCTGTATTGCTAGTGCTGCCTTGTCCTGTATTGCTAGTGCTGTAAATCCTCTACCCCGCGTTTCAATGGTATATATTTCCTCTGGGTCCTGAGAGCTTGAGCCTCTTAATCTGTCCTGCCTCTTGCATCATGATTGGCTTGCTACATCTGCAGTCACTGGCTGTCGTATACGCGATCGCTTTTTCCCTCTGTTCAGTCACATCGGAGTCCGCCGTCACTAAGCAACTACCGGCAGTCGCAAGGTAAAGTACAGCACGCTGTACCAGCAATGACATCTTCGCTGATGACAACAGAATCTGTAAATCCAAGCACATTGTGATTAGCCTCCTCGAATTGTTCGACATCGGCTATGGACCGTCTCCCTTTTGAAACCTGGCGGATGATCTTGGGCCATGTCTGCACCGACGAAGAACACACCGGCCGCGCCCTATCGCTGACCTGCAAGTACTTCCGCGAAGTCTCGAGACATGCCCGCTTCACGTCGATGAAACTGGTGGGAGCGCACCTGCATCATGCGTTCGCCGACATTGTTGCGCGGGAACCCACCATTCGCGTCGACGTCCGTGAGTGACGGTCTGCTCTGTGCTGCTGCCCCGCTTCAGGCAAATCGAGTGAATGAGAGCGAACTGCCCGGTACCGACCACGGGACCCTTGCTGCACCATGGGACAGCTTCCTCGTGGACATACGCCCAGCAGTTGAATCGACTTCCGAATTCTTCTTCCTGCACTGTCAGAGTGCACGTCGATATCTCTATACTGCCCTCTTTGTCGAAACGTCCTCTCTCCGAGCATTGTGGGATATCAGGATCTACTGGACGTACGAGCTGCGGATCCCGACCGCGGAACCCACGTTCTCAGCGGCTCTGATCGTCGTTGTCATATCTCCTAAACATATCGTTAATCCAAATTCAAGTACACCGTACGATATCCTCCCGTCGTACGGGCCGCTCGGCAGAGATTTCCTGAACGTCAACGGATTTCCCTCGGGGTGCTCGCTCCGTTGGCGAGAGGATGTCCATATGCATGCGTCAATTGGGGGTAGACTCAGCTCTCCAAGCCATGAACGATGATGACCAGCCTCTTCAGATAACCACCCATGTGTTCTTGAAACGACATCGGTCGCTCCTCATATATAAGCAATTCACGCTGTAAGCGCCGTCAGCAGAGCCTACTTCACCCATCTCGTCGGAAGCACCGTCGGACGCGCTGAAGAAGTTCCGCGAGAAAGCCGTTGATGACTGGTTGGGAGCAATTGATCGAGGAAGTTCCTGGGTGAGCACGGACCTCAAGGAGTTGAAGTTGACCATCCCAGAGCCCGAAATCCTCACACGTGTTCTAGTGTCAGCAGTGAGTTAGAGGGTATAGCATCTGCCTGGACACGGCGCAGCAATAGTCTGCGGGAGCAACGCGGTCAACCAATGTGGATGGAAGGCCCCCAACTATGATGTTCAGGGTGGGTCTATTCCCTAACGAAGCTGCCATGAGTGATTAGCCATAACCTCAACGCACCTCTCGACTTTCCAGATGTCCTACTGTTCTTACTCACGATCCTTGAGTGCCTGGAGTATGATGCATCATTCACTCAACCTCCTACTGTGCCTTACGGGGTTTGTTCTCCTTTGTAAGCGAATGATTCCGTCCTGATGTACATAGGTTTTCGCGTCTCGGCCAGCTTACGCATTTGTGGAAGAATATGTGCAGGAGTCCAACTCCACGGACTAAGAAAACGCACCGATAAATGGACAATCTCTACGTACAAATTGCAACACACCGTGCGGTATCCGGAGCAATCGTTGCTACGAAGGCTGCTGGCTGCATCTTGTCCAGCGGGTCGCGCAGTAACCGGGAGGAAATAGTCGTGCTGGCCCCTACGCGCCACCACCACTCCTTTCCCACTTTCCCACCAACTCATGCAACTTATCCGCCATCACCCACGCCGCGTCCCTATCATTCACATGCTTATCCACCTCAATCACCTCTACCGCCCTCCCTTTCTCCTTCAACCCCTTCTTCAACTCCTCCACGAGCGCACGATCCGCGTCCGGATCCCAAAACGGCCCGCCCGCGATATCAATCCCGGACCACCCGTGCTTCGGTATGACTACCGCGAGAGGGCCGTGGCCGACAGACAATCGGTCGGCCATCGTGCGCCCGATAGCCGCACATTCATCTGCGGAGGTGCGCAGGAGGGTGATGCTCGGGTTGTGCTCGTGCAGCGTACGCGCGGCATATTTCTCTGGGACTGTCGAGCGCGGGCCGAAGTTGCACTGTTAATCGTGAGATGATTTGAGAGGGGATGGAGGGAGAGGAGAACGGACCATATCGAGCGCGCCGAGGGACACGACGTGCGGGATGCCCGCGTTCCCGGGCGCGGTCAGGCGCGTCGGCCCCGCCGAGAGGATCCCGCCGCACTGCTCATCCGCGAGCTCCGTCGTCGTCAGGTCCAGCACCGCATGGAACCACTGTCCACCCGTTCAGCTTTGCTCACCCACCTATGGATCACCTCGCGCGCTCACCTTCTCCTCGACCAGCCGCTCCATCGTGCGCCCGCCCGCGCCCGTGCAGTGGAACACGACGGGCTCGTACAGGCGCCGCCCGGACGCATCGGTGAAGGACCGGAGGCGCTCGCAGGCGACGGTCACGCCGAGGGTCGTGAGCCCGAACATCGTCACCGCAACCATATGCTTCGCGTCTCCCAACGCGGGCGTCGGCTGGTCTTTATATGCGCGCGCCATCCCCGCGAGCGCCGCGGCGGCGTTGGTGAGGATGCGCGCGGAGAGGACGTTCATCGACCCCGAGATATCCGCTTTCCGTGTGTGAGCATGCGCAGCGGGTAAGGGAGGGGCGGGATGGGAGGGACGACGCACCGATAGAAGGCATCATGCAGATATCGCTGTCCCCCACATAATGACTGACATCCCCGCTCGCCATCGTGCTCACGCACAGCTTCGGCAGCCCGACGCGCAGCGCGCGCAGCACCGCGCACGCGAGCGCGGTCGTTGTGCTCCCGCCCATCGCGAGCGCGCCGTGCAGGGAGCCACGCACTTGGTACGAGAGAGCGATGCTGGTGGCGCCGGCGGTAATATGCTCGAGCGCGGCGGCGCGTGGGAGGGTGCGTAGGTGCGACAGTGAGGTGCCTGCCGCGCAGCAGACGGCAGAGGGCGGGTGGGCAGCGTGTTTGGAGAGGGCGGTATCAGTCTGGTGGGTTGGTCAGGGATGCATAGATTCAGTCAACGGAGCTGCAATGGCAGGAGGTGGTGGATGCGCACCTGGAGGGAAGCATCGATGAGGAACACCTCACATCCCTTCGCCTCGAGTAAGTCTTTCACGAACGCGTACTCCGCTTCCTTAGTGTCGAGGAAGCCGATGAGGAGGACCTTCGGCTTCGCGCCGTCCGTGCTTGTAGATCTAGACATGTACCTGGAGAGGATTGAGCGCGACCAACAGCGAGGTTCACCAGCTTTCCTTCGAGCACAGTGCGACTAAACGCGCAATGCAGCCACCACCGCTTCGACGTGCAAGTCGGGCGAGGCGGAGGGAAATGTGAGATGCGGGATGTGAGTAGACGTCATATGTAGATTGCTTGTGAACAGAAGATCGCCTGCGAATAGGAGGGCGTGCGCCCAGCATAGATGACGCTTATATGCGGTGTCGAGCGACAGCAGGGGTCACAGGACCTATTTGCGGTGCTGGCTCACGGGATACTATGAATAGCCAGTGCCCTCACCGGGGTTCGACGGACGGACGCAGCGAAAATGGAGTATGGGAATCCGTCAGCTAGCGTATAGTGAATTCC